CGTGAACAGGCATTCACGACCTGTTTCCATTTCGTACGCACGCACTGGTGCAACGACACACACAGATGTGGAGATATGTGAGGAATAAGTATATACACATTGGCAGTGGCATTTAACATGCGAAGTCACGCGCGATACAACTGCTGTTTCACCGATATCGCGTCTCCTCTACCTATGCTCAACTCATGTTCCACCCTTTTCGCGTACGCAACCCTCGGCGCGGAGAGAACGCTGGAGGACACGAAGATTCGAGACGGATGCATTTACACTTGGAAAAGCGTATCCTAGAAGAGAGAGAGAGAGAGCAGTTAACTACGATTTCGTTTCCATTCCGAAGCAGCTGCGTTCGATCTAGAACACCGTAGCAATAAAACGCCGCGATTCTCTCAAGCTTTTACTGGCCGCCCTGGTACACGTCGATGAAAAGGGGCGATTAAAAAGCAGCACCACCAGGGGGAATCCATCGAACTGGAATCTGTCGTTTAAGTTATTGCTTTCGATTACACGCGAATCTTATTACCTTACGTTCTCTCCATAGGAGTATCAAAAATAAAAATTGACCCCGAGTCGGATATGTAGAAACTTCTGAGAAGGTTATCCGTGAACTAGAAAACTGATCCTGGCAATATATACGATTGGTACTAAAAAAAAAAAGAAAAAAGCAAACGAGTTACACGAGTGTCCATTAACTTTTATCCTAAAAATCTCTACCTTTGATGTACCGAAAAAAAAGCAACTACCGAAAGCTAACTCTCCCCTGTACACTTCCCTCATGAAATCCCATCGCGTTGCTAATTTCCCTAACTTTTTCTCGACCAAGCTCGAACACATAAAACGATCAGTTTCACGCGACCAGACCAAAAGAGGGGTGTGTATGTGTGTGTGTAGGTTAATGCGACATTTCCGGACAGGAAGAATCCTGGAGAACGGCGGGCTAATTCGAACCGGTTTCCGTATTCACGTTGCATATCAGCCTGACGGGGACGAGGGAGGAAGTCTTGTGTAATAAACACGGTTCGCACTTTAATTCTGCAAGGGTTTCGCCTTAGCTAGGCCCCTAATCTTAGCCGATTCCATGCATACGTAAGAAGCATTGGCAGACGCCACATGCAAGCAGCATGCTAACTCTTTACAACTGCTCCCTGCAGACCCATTTATCGATCTATGTACCAAAGGAAAGGTTTCCATTAACCGTGCGCGTACCAACGCGTGTGTATATATACATATATGTGTGTAAAGTACGTGCTATACAACTGTTTCATCAACGGCACATTTACCCCGGTCGTATACAAACGTGCGTACTGTATGACGTTACGTACGCCTATGGTCCTCGAGTATTGTGACTAACCAATTGCCATCTCTGTAGAATGGTAAAGGTGGAGACCTACAACTTACTCTTACCACGGTACAACGATGTTGTGATATCGTTGCTAGGCTTGCATCAACGCGCATTATATTGGCAACGAATCAATAATATCTACGCATACGCGTTACCTTATACATTTTCTATACGTGTGTAACAACATATGGAGGTATCTCTCTCTCTCTCTCTTCGAGTCTGTTATATATCTGACGTCTATATCTCCTCTTTGTATAGAACGTATACTCTATTTCTATCGCGACGTCGTTCTGATATCGCGTCGCATCTGCACGGAAATTTATGCAAAGCAGCGCCGCTTGAATGGAAACCCTTGCGAGGGCGGAGCAGGAGAATGAACCCGACTCCGTGACCCAGCCATCGCCGGGAAACAATAAATCTCGGATAACGATTGGCAACAGAGAGGAGGAATCCTTGCCTGAGGTATCCCGTGCCGTTTTCCAAGACAGATACCGGCCAACCTGCACCTCCAAGTGCACCAGAATCGTAAAGTGGACGAGCAGAGTTCCCATACTGTCGAACGTTCCAATTCGATATTTTTAACGATTACCCTCTCTCGATTGATATTAAAGAGAGGATATTATCGAGAGGGGGAGGAAGCGATATCGTTATTTAACATTTCACACGATTTTCCAATTGTACCGAGAGAACATTCCTACGATCTATGTACGATATATGTATACGTGTATATAGGTTTAATGCGAGTAAATTTCGGAACGATGTTTCACACGGGATTGTTCGAACGTTCGTTCGCGCAATGAAAATTCGATGTAACGTTAGCGGGTATTCATTTTATAGCGTGTAATGAAAATTCCTCGACTCAGATTGCTAAAATTTGTTTCTTTAAATTTTAGGCTTTTGGTTGCAAAAATATATTTGAGTTAATGTACCCTCCTGTTCTTTTTTTTTTTAATTACAGACAGGAGGAGCCTGTTTTCTTTTTAATTACAACAGGGGAAGCTCTGAGAACTCCAGAGAAACACATCTGGAAATTAATATATCTGAGGAAAGACTGTTTCACGGCAGATGTCGAAAGTATCCGTCATTTTCTTAAAAAAACATAATTTCACTAATCGACCAACAGTTTAAACGGCGATTTCGTTAATCGCTTCTTCGATATTCAGCTGTAGATCGACTAAAATTCGAGGTTGATCCGAGAAGCGGGAAAAAAAAAAGAAGAAAAACCAAAGTGGTGAAAAATTTCACCGCACAGAAATTATCAACTCGGGAATTTTTTATTACATACTGTACAGTTTCCAACGCGACTCGCATGTGTATTCACCTTTTTCGTTCCACCGTTGTAACGTATCGGCCACGCCGGGATAACTCTCGAAAAATGGGATCGAGGCGATTGCGCTTTTTATATAATTATGCGACGCGAGTATTTGTCTTGATGCATTAAATCGCGCGACGCGCCGAAGAGGCCGCGTGCGGCGAAATTATTAGATAACCGCGTTAAAATAAAAGGACGGCGATGCTGGGATAAATGCAAATTCACTTTATCTGTAACGGCTAGCCGGGGCGTTCTTTATTTCGACTCGTACGCCGAGTTTTCTCTAATAACAATTTTACCGTCGTTCAACGGTAAATCACGTGATATCGCGGCTTTTAACCGCGAGAAGAGAGTTTCCTTTCGACCAATATTTGCCGAACGATCGCTACTAATTCGAATCCCCCCATACCTCTCCTCGTCTCACCTCTTCACCTCATCCTCCTCCAGCAAGCGACCCTCTTTTTCCCTCTTTGCCGCAATTTTAACCGGTGAAAGATCAATACCGGCCGGATACACGCGGCGTAATAAACATTTCCTCGTGAAAATATTTTACACCGTGTACACGCGCCATAGCAAATAAAAATAAACGCCCCACCGAGAACGGTATTTGGGCGATGTTAAAACGCTTCGTTTTTATCTTTTCGCCTTGTTTTTTCTCTGTATTCTTGTTGTTTCGTTTTTTTTCGTTTCGTTTCGTTTCCCTTCCCTCCTTTTTGCCGAAACCCTCCCTTCTTCACCCTCCTCGACGAAACTTTACGCCGGTATCATGCGAAATTACGTCGGCGTCGCGTAAAAATCGTCGAACAATAGATTTTTATAGAGTAATCCGAGCGAATCTCGTCGAGAGAGAGAGAGAGAACGGGACTGGTAAGGCCAGGTTGGTTTTCCGGAGAGGTAAAGGAGAAATGGCAGGAGGCAAAAAAAATAAAAAGAGAAAAACACGCAGCAAAGCGTTAGCGCGAACGATTCTTACGCGATAAAGGCGCCTGGCAGTTTCGGACCGATTTATCACGAAACTATTTGCATTCGTCCCCCGCTTTTTTTTTTTTTTATCGGGCACACCGTGTCGAAAGGGAAGTTTAACGGGCCAATTAACGCCCGACTGATTAACGATCGACCGCAAGAAGTAAGTGTGTGCACGCGCCACTATTTCTGTCACGTGAACAATTTAATCGGCACGTGCAGCACCGTGACAAATGCATATAATGACGCGTTGCACAACAGATCCAAGCAAACAGGCAAGCCAGAGAGCGAGACTATCGTGGAATTAATCTCTTCGTTATCGCTTTGAGCATCGCGCAACCAGCGAAAAATGCAACGTGTATGTGTACGTGTTGGTGGCGATTGGAAAGATGAGCGGAAACCTGCATCGGAGATTCGAGATTGGGTACTTCGTGCGTTGTCTCGCGGAAAAACGGCACAGGCCGCCGCCGCAGTCGTGTCGAGTCGAATCGCGGCGGTGGATTTTCCACCTCGCGGCAATGTTATAAACGAAAGTGAACGAAAATGATACCGGGGGATTTTCGTGCCGCTTGTATTTCCACAAACCGTTCAATTTGCGCGATGTGTATACTCACGATAGTGAGAGGGGTATCAAATTGTTTGTTATATTCGAAAAACCGGTTGTTTATTGTTTCAACGCATCCTCTGCAAATTTTGTCACGGGAAAAATAAATATAAACGACTGTTTCTCTCTCGTGAAATCGTTTTTCTTTTCAATTTCCACGTAACTATTTATACACGTGCGGAATCGAAAGAGCCACGACGTTCCGATACAAACGCTCCAAGACGAACAAGAGAGGGTTTGTACAAGGGGAGAGGAGAGCGAGAGAGAGAGAAAAAAATAAGAGCAGAGGGAAAATTAAAATTCGCCGTATCAAAAGATTCCGCGCGCGCACGCGCGGTGTTTTAATATGCAAATCGTGGAAAAGCGGCGCCGCACCACGTTGCCCTCCCCCTTACGCCCAGCTTTTTGGATCGTTTCTTCTTCGTCCTATTCAAGGATGCCATACGAAACGAAGGCAATTTGTTATAAATCAGACATAAGTTCTCTCTCGGCGTTTTCGAATGCATACGAAACACGTGAAAACAGAACGCAAAAAGAGGGGTGAAATAGCGATGTGGGAGGGGGTTGGTTTAAGGGAAGAAGTAGCATGGCTCTCTTCGGCTTGGTCGCTTTCCTCTGAAAGACGATTTAAGGAAAGGAAGGCGTGCATCGCCCCGGAAAAATCAGAAAAACACGAGACAATTGAAGATGGAAAGGGCGGTGGACGCATACGAATTCGTGCTTTTTATCAACGAAAATCCAACCTTCCATCTGACTTTTTCTTTTTTTCTCTGTTGTTTCAGGAGGACTCGAAACCTCGCAAGGATGCGGGACCGGCTATCGTGGTACATGGTCTTTCTGATCCTGCCGACAATTCTCCTGGCCAGGTCGCTCGATAAAGGTAAATAATTTTCTCGGGGCATTTAACCTGCCCGGTTCCCCTATCCCATCCCTCCCCCCCATTCTCTCTCTCTATTTCCCAGTCTGGATATAAGATCTTTTGTACTTCTTGGCATCCGTTTTACTCCCGTTGTAATTCCGGCTTTCCTACTTTAATTTCCACCGAATGCCTCCTGCTTCGTGTTCAATTTAGTCGGATGATTTAATTAATGATCGGTAGACCGGTAGGATACGATAACAAATTTCACGAGTAAATTTACCTTCTTCCAATTACCCTTTCTCTTCTCAGTTTCTCTTTCTCTCTCTCTCTCTCTCTCTAGAGGTAAAAAAAAAACGAAAAAGAATTACAGTAAGTGGTGAACGTTCACGTTTAGTGAAGATCTGAAATGTCGTCGTCGTCGGTAACCAGAACAAGGTACAAAGAGAGGGAGAGGAGTATCAAGGAACTAAATGGAAAACGTATTAAGTAACTCTTATAATTCTCCGGGTCTCTTGGATAAAGTGTTTACCGAAACTTCGTCGCACGGAATTACGCTTCCTATCAGATCCCAGAGTCGGGTGTTCCTTAGCTGTGTTCCCGGGATCAGGTTGTGTGTACACCGAAGAGTGAACGGCGTGTGTCGTTGTCTTGGTCCTGTCTGTATACGAAATCCGTTCGTGCAAGAAGTCAGGTACTTACGTCGGGTGACTTTAATGCTATTAAGTATGCATTAGATAAAACCTTTGTCCCTGGTAGGTAATAAATAAATGTCGGTCTACGATAAAAAGGAGACACGGACAGATCTCTCCTCTTGCGGAGAGAGACAGAGAGAAGAAAGGAAGCAACAAGCGATAGAAAGAACTGAGAGAGAGAGGGAAAAGAAGAAATAGGAAAAAAATACGGTAACCTCGCGAAAAATCTTCTCTAGTGTGCACTCGCTACCTACTCAAAAGTGGCTGTGAATTGGGAATACTTTAAGAGGAAAGAAAAGAATACAATTCTGGCCAACTAACTGGTCGAAGCAAAGTAGGAGCACCTTTCCCTCGGTAGCCCCGGCTTCTTGTCTCGTTGTATAAGGTTTCGCATTGTCTCGTGGAAACAAAAGGCAGGTAGCTTATGCCCCGCATTCAAAAGCTCACAAAGTTCAGTCTCAAGTGCTTGTCTTTTGCCTAGACCCTTCCACCTCCAACTCGCCTCCTTCTCTCCTTCTCTATGCCGCCAATTTTCTCTCTTTCCATTTACAGATTTCTATATTCACCGACAGCCAACGCCGTGCTCCAACGGTTTTCTTTATCCTTCGCTATTCCCTTTTACCAGGGCACACTCCTTTCGAGGTTACTTACGAATTACCCTTCTTCTATTTCATCCGCCTATCCGTTTTCTACCTTCGTTCCCACTTTACGCGTTAAACTTCTTCCACGGCCGTATTTCTTACATCTCGCCCTATCTCTCTCTCTCCCTTTTAACTCTCGCCAAGGTGATTCATTAATATCAGGATCTAAGTGAAGGAAGTAACGGTGTATTTGTGGAGATAAGATAGCATCGTGAACTTGGATCTTTTTCAAGTCTCTTACCTTGAGCCTTTAGCGGATCGATACTATTTACAAAACGTGTGACGAAACGAACACATCTCGATGAATTTGGAACTGGGAATCTCAAGTCTTCTTTCTATTCTACAATTCCGAAGACTTCTCCACGTTGAAGTTCAATTTTCAGAGAAAAACCCATTCTTCGGTCTACCCGAACTCTGAACAACTCTGTACACAAAGATCGTCGCGATGATAATTAAAAAATCGTAAAAGCCAAAGGTTCAAACTGATCGATTTAATCAAGTAGACAATAGAATAACTTCCCTTTCTAACCTAATCCTCTTCCCTCCACGCTGTAACCAACCCCGTTCAACCAAACTCTCTCTCGACAAATCCGTGCAAATTCGACAAAACAATGAAAAATATTGAACCGTTGATTTATAAGGTATCGTTATCGGCGAATTTCAGAGCGTTCACCGTTCGAACTTTTGCGAAACGTTCCAGACCGACGCGTACCGTACAACATACCGTCGGACTGGAAAACATTGTGGTTCAGCAATCTGGAAGAACTGCAAAGAGTGAACGAAGCAAACGTCAACAACACCGTCTCAAACGTCACGGTACAGTTGGGCGGGACAGCTTTCTTGCATTGCGAAGTTCGCAATTTGGCAGACAGAACGGTGTCCGACGCTGAGGTGAGTCAGCCGTTAAGTTTCGCGGTGGTACCTTATAGCTGGGTTCCTGTAGAACGGGGAAACTCCACTTTATCACTCGGTCACCGTGGAATATATACGGCAGAGAAAACTGATTCGACATTTGTACACCTGTTCCCAGATATCATGGATACGACGACGTGACTTTCATGTCTTGACCAGCTCTACGTTCACGTACACGAACGACGAGCGGTTTCAAGTTTTGCATCCCGAGGGCTCGAACAACTGGACACTTCAGATCAAGTACGTTCAGGAGAGAGACAACGGGACGTACGAGTGTCAGGTAATAATGTGACCAAAACATTTCCCACCTCCCTGTTTCCCCCCTTTGTGGGAAATTGTTTTAATCGAGTGCAAGAGCATTAATTCGAGTAGCGACGCGAGGAGAGACGCCATGGTTGGTTCGTCGACGGCGGAGGAGGCGTCTCGTTGTTGCCGGGACGCGCTGCTCACAACCCTCGAAACGAATCGATTTTAATGAGACGCGGCCGCGCGCTGAAATTCGCGAGCACGGGTAAACTGACGCGTTTAGGTGAACCTGATTGCTTTTCAACGTGAGATGGCTTGGCTTCTTTTCGAGGGATAAGTTATTAGGGATTATTTTCGACACGATCTTGTACGTTAGTATCAGTGACGTCATTGGAGGAGAAAATGTGCAGTGTTTTTTAGCAGAATTTCGTTGCTTTTTTAGAAAATATCTATATAATTAGTTTTATAAATCCACCTTATGTGTATCGATATACCTACGAGGCTAGAAGCCTAGCTCTATGCTAAGTTGCTTAGTATTTTTTATATTTCGAGATCTACGGGGAGGTGACACCATGAGTCACTGCACCAGGTGATATCAAACCTAGTGACGTCATTGGTTAGGGTTAGTCGAACGTGGATTAAGGGTGTTTCGATGATTTTAGTGGAAGCTTAGATACGAATTATTAATTTTTTCAGAGAGGAACAAAGAATTGTTTTCTAAATTCAAGCAAACACTATGCAAACTCGAGAACTTTCACAACGCTCGAGTAAACTCTTGAACGATCAATTTGCTGATGATTGAAAATTCGACATTTCGTATTACACGATAAACATGTGAGAACAAGCACAGACTAGACTCGAACAATTCTAAATTTAGCAAATTCAATGGGCAACGTTGAGAATTTCTATTAAACTAACATTGTATCGTTTGTTGCAGGTCTCGAGGAGTACAGGGATACTATCACACTTTGTCAATCTAAACATAGTTATACCAGAAGCATTTATATTAGGGAGCGGCGAGCATCACGTCGACGTAGGATCCATTATAAATCTCGTATGCATAATAGAAAAGGTAAGAATACACTTCACACTCCTGTTTCATTCATCACCAAACAAAATACCCAGTCGATTCTCTAAACCGATTCAGAATAATCAATGCAACTTCTGTTCAATCGATAAATTTGAATTACTCCTTGGTAACATCTAACCATTCCTTAAACACCTTCGCCGCGAATAGTTATTTTTTCTAACATCACCCAGGGAGGAAAACCAGGGATCTCTGGGTAGAATGAGAAAACTGGTAGCGAGCATTTTATATATCAGTTTCCATTGATACGTGAAATAATCGTGTCGCTCATATAGAGCACGGCCGTGAATAAAGGCACCGCGGCGTGCAGTCCATCCGCTTAACGAAGGTACATAGAAACGCACAGCTTGCAGTTCGTGCGAACATTCAATGTACCTTAGTTCGGGCGCGGAACGGAAAAACCTCTAGTGAAATAGGCGCAGCTTAGTCACGAATACAAGAGTGGAAGTGCATTAAAGCGGCATTGCCGCCCGCCGCTGCAAACTCGACACTATCGGGAAACGAAAATAAAGTGTGGCGTTTTTTTCTCCTCGGCTCCGTGTGCGCGCATAACGGATCCACGACAAAAAGGAACGCATCTCAAACGTTCCAAATGCAAAGAGAGCGAGAGCGAGAGAGTACAAGAAAGAGAGAGAGAGAGGAGAGAACACTGATCGCTAACATGTACTGTTTCGATGTGCTACACCTTTTCTCCTCTCTCTCTCTCTCTACCTCTACCATCGCTTCTTCGATCCTCGTCTAACGACGACGATACCCCGAGGAAATGCATTTAAGAAATTCTTCCAAGCCAAATTGATGGTATTAACTCGGATAGCAATATGGCTTCCGAGGGAAGCACCCTATAAGAAGATACCTAAGTATTCATAAGTACATTATAGATCGTCTTAAGACAATCTCGAGTATGTGTATAGGGGTGAAATAACGGTGAGACATTGTCAACACGACCAACTCGTGTTCGTTTGCATCGTTGTACGGGGAAAAACGGCGAATGTGTGTATCCGTGGATACGATCTAACTATACACGCGATGCATCCTCTGATACTTACACGGAGCAATCTGGAAAAGACGTCCGGTTCACGTTCCACGGAATTCGCTACAAGTGGGGCCCCTAGACTTCGACGTTCTATTCCACTTGGTGTGTAGGAGTATGGCAGTCTCTCGATGGAAGACATGGTCGAACCGAGAATGCAGGGAACAGGGACAACGCGACATTTCGTTTTGTTCCTATTCCGCGAGAACTGTGAATCGAACGTCTCTGGTCGATGCGAAAAATGATGCTGCTACATTGTCGTCGTATTGGCATCCATCGATCGTTTCGGCAATTATCCTAGCTAGACTTAATTACGCTAGGTGGCGACGAGATTTTACCAGTCGACGTATCGGGAATCGATACGCGAGCCTCCTGAACGCATTAAAATGACATTTCGGCGATGACAAAACCGAAGAAGCACAAGAAATTCTTCTCCAACGAATGAATTTGTTTTTCCGTGGTAAGATTTTTGGGGAATAATTTTGATCGATTGAGATAGGTGCTACCGTAATTCTTCTTCGCCCCTTGTCTAGGGGTGAGTCATAAATGAAGGGCTCGGAAGCCTAAGTATCTAACTCCATGAAAGAAAAGATAGCAAATATCGTTGATATTTAAAATAAAAGTAATAAATATTGTGGAATAATATTTGTTCGTATATACATATGAAATGAAAATTTATCAATTTTTGCTACTTCTTGTTTCCGAGCAGCTCAAACGTGATACAAGTTAACCTCTAAATACGACGAAAATTAGAGTGTATTTTTAATTGTGATTTTAGTTTTAATTTGTAAGATTGGAGAGGGATTTATTTTGCGTATCGTGTAGTCGTAGTTATTCACACGAAAGCATTGGTCAATGCGCTTAAACATAAAACAGTTGAATCTTCTTCTGGGAACGTAATTGCATTTCCACGAATCATTCGTATTTATACGTCACTGTCCGTTCAGAACACCAAACGTTCCAAGAAACGATTATCCTGACAATTGCTCTACGATGAACATTTTATTCTTGGCCGTTTCAGAGTCCAACACCGCCGCAGTATGTTTTCTGGTATCACAATAATCGAATGATAAATTATGATACTACGCGGGGCAGCGTAACCGTACAAACTGATCGCAACACGACTCAAAGTCGACTGACGATTCATCAAGCGGTGGAATCGGACACAGGCAATTATACGTGCACCGCCTCAAATACCAAGCCGGCATCCATCTATGTCTTTGTCACAGAAGGTAGAATATTTTTCCCGTATATACATACATACATATATATAATTAAACTTTTTCACCGGTACAAAAAATTTGTCGCGATAAAATTTTTAGCAGTGATAAATTTTTCAATTTTCCATATTTTGCTTGGATAAAATTTCATCCGAATGAAGTTGTAGAGAGAGAGACAGGAGAATAAAAAAAGAAAAAAGAAAAAGTGACATAAACGAAATAACTAATTGCGTTACTTTGAACGTTTCAGGTGACAAAATGGCCGCCATACAGCGCCGCAAGACGTCAGCCGCGGAGAGAAATTTCTGTGAATTGCTAGTACTAATTGTCACCATTGCGATAGAAGCCGTTTTAACGCGATAAGCGCGTTTCTCTTCGATATGTCCATAATTATTATACCGTTACTTCCGTTTGTGATAGATAGGCTACTATTCTGCGATTTTAACCCTCTATTCACTATCCTTCTTTCCCTTTGAAACTGGACATCGTCATGCCACCGCGTAACACCATTTATTTTACACCCACTACGTACATTTGTTCTTCCTCGTGAGGGATCCTTCGCAACACTTTGCTATTTCAATTTTTCCCATATCGTCCACGTAGAGTTCTCCCTTATCTTTTTCTCTTTCTTTTTCTTTTTCTTCATTTTCCGCCACGTTTAATTAGCCGCCGTTCGGTATAATCGTTACCGTCTTATCGTACTTCCTGTACTTACCGTCATCACGAACCCTCGGTTCTCTCTTTTTCTTTCGTCTCTCTTCTTTTTGTATTTCGTCTCACCGCCGAGATTGCCGCCGGCTGAATCATTTCGACATACGAGATTTTCATGGTAGATCGTTCTGCGCGTGTCCACGTAATTAAGTGCGACCTAAATTATTAAGAATACTCGCGGGTGAGTTACAATTTCTCTCTCTCTTTCTCTCTTTTCTCTCTTCCCTCTTCTCTGTATTCCCCTGCTGTCTATCCTAATTTTAAACGAGTCGAATCTTGCTCCCGTCACGCGGAGAACCGTTACGGAGAATGTGATTTTCCGCAACAAGTGAAAACGGAACAGCGCGTCAACCAAATTAAACGCGACGCGCGTGTCGGAATAGGAAGCACTATTCTTAGTTTTAATCCTCCAAGGAATAAATAAAGTGCAATAAATTTAAGTACATATTATAAATAGAATCTTATCGTTGACACATTCGTAGATACACTATATCCTTGTTTATTATAATGTCTTGTTTTGCGAACGTGGAAGGTTCAATGATTAAACTACATGAAAGAAAAGAAAAAAGGAAAAAAAACAAGAAATAATGAATGAATGAAAAAACGAGTGATCGTGTCAGTTTTTACAACGACATATACTATATTCTCTTACAGATTCGATTACCACGAGCATGAAGTTTCCACCGAGAGAGCTTCGTTTTACGTTACCGGCGGCGCCTACGTTCACTATTTAATCGGTTTAAAAATAAACAAATCGACTACTGTTACCATATTAATTCTTCGACAGCGAATTAGAAATTGTGTAACGCCGATATCAATTTTAACATTCACACACATTCAACAAACGCGTTTATCCTCTTTAAAGTTACGATAAGTTTTCGATTTAATGATCACGAGGCAGCGATTCTACGGTCGTGGCAGTTTTCCACAAGTTTTGCGCCGCTTTCGTTCAACCACCGACGATGAGATATGGCAACAGACACGAGAGCGTTTTACGAAGTAAAAGTTTGAAATTGACGGCGTTACCGAGCATCGTCTTGAATTTGCGAGACGTTTAACGTACCTTTTAGCAACTCTCGGCCCTTCACCTTCGATTTTCGTACTGTTCTTGTAATTAATCACCTCTCGCGACGTTTCAATTCCATCTTATCCACCGCGAATCTAACCTACCTTCTGTGGTTTCATACATGCAAAGCGTAATCGCGAGATCGATATCCCGTATGTGCATTTCTCGTGTTCTTCACTGCGATTAGTTACACGTGTTACTACTGCCTTCGTGTACGATAAACGATAGAACATATTCAGAGAACAGTGACATCCTTTTAAATAATTTACCGTGAAAAATTTTACCTGAGATAACCTATCGACAAATTATAGAGGTCGAGTACACACACTTTTTTATATCGTGTAACTGTAATTACACTTCAAAAGGCCGAGGATAAAGAAAACAAGTCGTGCACGAGAAAATTCGAAAATTATTTTTTATTAAACTTCACGTACTTGCTAATCACTTCGACTTCCTCTAGTTGTACCGTGCAGAGATGAAAAGATGGCTACCGTGATGGCACAAGGGACAAGAGGGGTACTCCGCCTGATCCCGTTTTCAAGAAACTGTGACCCTCCTCTGAAATCTACACTTTTAGGTTCTTAGTAGCACACACTGACATAGTATCAGAATTTTTGTATCCGCGAGTGATACACATTTCACTATCTACCGCGAATACGTTATTGCTTTGAAGTTCATTGCATCATTCACTATCCCTCTATGGATCTCGAATCGATTCTCGATACTTAATCTCGATATGTCCTGTTCTCTCTTTTCGTTACACGATACGATATTTTCCAATTTGAGATGCGATCGTTTCGGCCTATGACAAAAATACATATGCCCTGTCTTTATGATTGTGTAAACGATAATGGGCCTGTTTACATTACAACCAATCAGGAACCGCATTCTTTGCGTTAGCCAACTTCACATCTCTGCATAATGTACACAATGTGAACGTTCCGTCTGCACTTGGTGATTATTTTCGAAACGTATCATAATTAACAAATCCTTGTCATTAAAAATTCATTCTTCAAAATCGAATAAAAAAGAAAGAAAAGAACCGAATAAAGAGATCGTGTAAAAGTGGAGGGATAGAAATGCGGACGAAAAGTTAAAATACAGGGATCAAACGACAAGTATTATACGTAGAAATGTAACGCGAAAGTTTGGTTAGAATTCAGGACAAACGAGAAACTGCCATATTGCTTGACGTAGGAAAAATCCTTCAGGCTAAACGTTTCATAAATTTCGATTTTACAACTGTTTCGAGGCAAATCTGCGTACCAGCTACTAGAAGCTCCGAATGTACATGTACGACGAGGTTTCTTATTACGAGTAACGATTCACGTGAATAGGTTCGCGTGTGTGTCGCGTGACACCGGTATCGATTGAACAGGGAAACGTGGACGATGGACGTGAATAAGAAGAGGCATATAATAAAAGAAGCCACGGCACACGAACTTTATTTCGATCGATTCATTCACTCGCCTCCTTTCTTTTTTCACGTCATGCGGAATCATTTGCGAAAATACTTTTCCACGAATGTTTAATTCTCGATTTAATAAGAAATATCCCCTCTCCAAAACCCCTTTTAACAAGAGACCTAAAAAGTTTAGAATCGATCGTAACTACTTAATAATTACCTAAAAAGTTAGGTTAAATTAAGCAAGAGAATTGTATGTATGCGTTGAATCGAAGGAACGACACGGACCTTGAATATTTTTCAAGGTATAATTTCATCTGAATCTTCTGGAGGATAAACGAACAACGCATAAGGGCAAGAGAAAGAGAGAGAGAGAGAAAGGGGGGGATTAATCATTCAACGAGATTGATCTCTTACGAAATAAGGAAACAAGTTAAAAATAGAGACGTAAGATCAGTAGAATAATAAACGATAAGACTTTAATACTCGAAAAAGATTTGATCACGTATATTTACGCGTTCTGCGTGTACATCTCAAGCATCGATAGTATATCTGCCATAGAAAATCTCTGTGTACTACTACTGCGCGTCGCACGATACCAACACCTTTGATATTCTGTAACGTTTTTAAGTTCGCTGTATGAAAGAAAGCAAAAAGGAGAAAATAATCGATATGTCATCGGTCTCGTGTCGATAGTCTGATTTTTTTAATTAGATAGGCGTTTGTGTAACTCGATACGTAGCAGACACACACACACACACATACACAAACAAGGAACACACACATATACACGATGAAAAAAAGACAGAAACGAAAAAAACTTTCGTACGTTGCTTAACGTTCGCCCGCCTTTTTACGAACTTTTGTGTCCTTTTACTTCGAACATTTATTCGCAAATCCGTTGAAACCGAATTTTAATAAAATCCACAATATAAAATATCGACTCTTTGGTGTCTGTAATTATGCTCTGTCGAATTCACACGACCGCAACGATAGAAAGCCATCAAAGGGGAGGGGAAAAAGAACCACAAGGAATGGAAGAGGAATGTGATGAAAGAAAATCTAGAAGTAAATCAATCTGAACCAGGTAGCAATTGTCTTCGTTAAGGTCTCGATGACAATATCTTTTAGTTACCGTAACGAATCACCGGAGCCTACACGTGCGTGTACCTGCGTGCGTGGTTGCATGCGTGTAATATAAGTCTGATTATTATAAAAGACCAACTACGTCGTCCTAATTATAAAGAAACAAGAAAAAAGAAAAAAAAATAACACAGCTCGTTTGTAGATGGTTCCCATGATCGAACAGGTTGCGTGTACAAGCGGAACATTATCGAATGTGAAGAAGACAAAAAAAAATGATGAGGAATAATTAGATGAGAAGAAAAATTCATTGTCGATCGATAAATTTATTGTCAAAATTCATTTGTACGTCGAGGATCAACGTGTGATATAGTGGCCAATAAGAATACAGCTTATTGCTTCCCCTGTGATTGGTTAAACGCAATGAGCACCTGTGGTAAACTGTCTCATTACAGTCACTCGAACGAAACAAAATTCCCTAGTTAAGATACTTGAACCGTATGCACGAGAGACGATTTTATTCGATCGTATCAAATTCAAGTAAAACCGATCAATAAACATAGCAAAGTGTTTCCACATTTTCACGGTGATACTATCGTATCCTTGATCCATAAATTAATACGAAAGACACCATAAGTTTTCTGACGGTTTTACTTCCTTTTGATAATTCATAAAAAGAAAAAAAAGAAAAATGATCCCCACGATATTCACTGACTGTCCCGTGTGATCTAAACGAAACAATCGAAGGTGAGTTTCGTTCAAGAGAAATCTCAACGAATTTCAATAAAATTGCAGAATCCTTAGCCGATGTATTCTATGACGTTCATTGGCGCAGGAGTTCTTAACTTGTCTCAAAGATCCCGGATCCCTTAATCGGCTCGTTTCAAGTGGCTCGATTCGCTACTGTCCTCAGGAAAAGAAAAAAAAAACAAAAGAGCAATTCAACGACCACACTGATCAGTTTTTTGATTGTGCTTTCTAGGTTGTCGGGAAACGGATTGATAAAAAATATAACGGGTAGAGATTCTGTGTTTAAATTATACCATTAACCCCGCATCTCCTGGAACCCCCCTTTTATCCTGCACCCGCAAGGAAACATGGATATTTCCTCGTTAAGAACACCTGCATTATACTTCAGGAGAAGAAAAGGTGAGCCCATTATTTTTTCTTTACACAAACACACTTGTCTGACGTGTATACATATTTTCTTGTTATTCTCATGGTGAATTAGGTACTTCGTTTTAGCAATGGCAGTAATTATATTAGTCGCGAGGAAACTTAAGGAGAACGCTCGAAGGAAAGTTTAATAGTTTGAGATCTTACACGAGAAGGTGTTTCTTTTTTTTTCTTTCATTTTTATGAAATATTATTTTCTTCGTGTTATTCTATTTTTTCGTATTATTAAAACGAAAGAAAATATCTTTTATCGCGTGTTTCACTTATAAAGGTAGAAACATTTCACGTTACAGCGCAATGAATGCTCGACAGTTTGATAACAGCAATAATAGTTCAAGGAGTTTTCCGTCATAATACTGTTCAACTTTCCAGCGAAGAAAAAGTCTCGTTGCACAACGAGAGATAAATACGTTTCTCATGGTAACATAAAACAATTGTTTTTTTCAACTTCAGAGAAATTAATCGTGTAATTAACGATTATAATTAATTATAAAATAATTTTTTTTAACGTGCAACAAAGAGAATAAATCTGAAATTGAACACTTGACGCAAATTTACATTTTAACTGTTTATAAGATTATGAGGTTTGAAGAATTGTTATTTTCAATCGAAATATAAAAGCTGAAAATCTGCTATCACGATTTTGAGAGATTCGAAAGAAATGTTGCATAGAACTTAAGTACATTATGCATGTTCAACGTTTTACTTTTTTCAAGGATATCATGAATCGATATAAAAGACACTTATATGAAAAATTGTGAAATATTACGGAACTCATAATAAAATTAAGAAGGCTGTTAATTTGTTTTTATCAATCAGAATAATTAAAAACAAATATGTTCAATGGTAAACGTGGTAATCATATCAGTAATATATTACGAATCAAAAGTTTTCGATATAATTAAGTACCGGTAACAAGATGAAAGTTTTTTCTCAATTCCGACAAAGTTAACGAATACAGAACGTAATGTACACCGAAAATTAATAATATCAAGATATGATAGACTCGGCAATTAAAGTGGAAGAAATTGAAATTGTTCACATTATTGCAGTGAAGTCTGTAATTAAAAATAAAACGAAAATTTCAGATCAAGAGAAAATGTTTAAAGAATTGTAATTGCAATGCATAGATAGCCTGAAAAAAACATTGGCAGATTTAAAAAGTATTTTTCAGTTTATTACAAAATTTAACATACCAGTAAACTTTTATATAGATACAATACAATTTTTAGTTTTCATACATCATATAATATAAACTAGAAATCTAATCTTGTTTTTTGGAATTCCATCAAAAGGTGAACATTGAAAATAAGAGAAACTTAAATTAATGACTTCGAATTATTTGTTGTGCTCGACTTACTAATCCATTACCAACAGATCAAATTTTGCCGGAACCTTAAGATTAACTAGCATCTTACTGTAAAAAAGTAAAAAAATCTAATAAAAAGTATAAGTTCATCTACTGATCCGTTGATACAAATCCTTCAGAGGAATCCAAGTATAATTATCTCATAAACATTTGATGTATAACAATAAGTACAATATGTAAAATATTGTTTATTGCACACGGATCGTAATCAGTTTTCCTAGAGAGAAAGAATATAGAAAGAAGACGCATCAAAGGAATCTTTTACTTGATTATTCGGGAAAAAAAAAAAAGAAAAAAGAAAAAAAAAGTGTTCATGGCAATTTTTACGTATGCGTGATAATTGCGATATGAGAATCATGAATATGCATGATAAACAGATTTGAAAGTGATTAATAATATAATCTTTTGCAACTTTGGAGGTACGATTTATTAATACTAAAATAGAAGATCATGTGTAGATGTGTAGATCATTATGGCGATATTTTAAATTAATTCTTAAGACCTTAAATAATAAATTCCACTTAATGATTCTCTCAGTGAATGTTTGCAATCGTGTATAATAGAGAAGAGAATATTTCAAATTAATAAAAAACATAAAATTTTGTCTATACATTTACTTTACTCTCTTTAACTACTCTCAGTTTTTATCTTTGGCAGATATCAATGATTCATTTAGTAAACGCTTACCATATCCGACACGTATAATCAGATCATCTGTGATTATCTAATTTCAAGATCCCTTTACTCGTAATTACGTTCGTATAACTATATTTTATTGAACAAAACAAAAATATTGTAAATTGGTTTAACAGTATACAACACGCTAATCTACATCTAAAAGTTTACATGTGCTACTTTATATAAATTTTGCAATAGATTTGAAAAATATTAAAAAAAAAAAAATCTTTCGAAATATTTTTTCTTCGTTATGAATTTCGCTGTATATTCATAATTTGAATAAATCAACAGTACTCCCTTTTTCTGTTTTAATTGCAATGAGATTGCTCAAGTGCTCCCTTTTAGGTGACTTGCGCATTATGTATACATGCATGTATACATAAAATTGTCGTGTACAGGACGTTTTATAAAATGTGATAAATTTTGGAAATAAAAGATTCTTTAAATAAAAATATAATACTTGGTATTTTTATAGTTTACCATAATAGTTAATGTTCTCAATCATTGATCAAATTGAAATATACAACACATCGACATAATTACAACACGTTATAGTACATTATATTTTCTAAAATACTTAGCTTTAAAACGTTTGCTATATATGTACATGTACGTTCTAGTATATACTAGATATACACAAACTTTATCATTGCTCTTAACAATTAGTTTTATAAAATCTCCAAATTCTTGCAATTATTTTTTTTTTTCTTTCAAAAATATATTCATGATATTAGGTTATCTCATTTTCACATCGTGAATCTCTTATTTCCCGAATGTAGCACACATTAAGAAACACCTTATACATACTTTCGACATACATAGAATACAAAGAATTTTGTATCTTGTAAAAGACTAATTTAAATCCACAAAAGAACCCGATAAGATTCGATACCTTTAATACATCATTCCTGATGAAACATTTGATTAAAAAACAGTATTAAAAAAAAATAACTGCTTTTTAAGCATAAACAATTGTAACATATGCAGGAATCGAGAAAACGAAAGGAAGATCCTGGGCGGTTGCGGTTTTGAACTCGAGATCTTCAAACTACTATTCCACACTGGCCACCCGCACCTTACCAACAATGACACAAACCATACACATATTTCTAGATGAGATCAATTGCATAACAGACACTACCATTGTGACGTGCAACTTAGAATTTATCTTACCTGGAATAGGCAGTAAGATGTACTTGTATCAGCAACTGTTCACACCACTGTTGCCACATAAGGTCTCGTGAAGGGGTTAGATCTCATTAAAACAGATTACGAAATGCTGTTTGCCAAAGAGGATATGGATATATATGAATAGCTTATGTTACTCGTTAACCAGACATCCACCAAGTACACTAGCTATAATTATTTCGTGAAGGTAGTCGTCTTGCAGGGTTCAGTTGTCTTTTTCTTGCTAAGTATGAGAACTTGGATAACCCTGCCCAGATATAATGTAGTAGTAAATTATACGATAGAATTGATCATGCGTATAATCACCAAGACAACATTAAAGCAAGGAAAAGCACAGGGAGAACCAATGTTGGTCACTACATCACATTTCACGGTATGGATCCCATGTTGCAGCATCCATAGGATGTCGACGTGACTTTGAACTACGATGATAGAACGGTTGGTTTATAATGTGGGAAACTTAAACATCGTGGATTTAAAAAGAAGAAATCTCCCCAGGTGCAGTAAATTCTCAATTGATTTGCAATAGTGGATTAGGATGCAAATTTTGCGGGATTATGAAATTTAGGATGAATCAGAAAATGGCACAAGTATCTACCAAGGCAATCGAGGATCGAGACTAGGAGCTTCTTGCATGTAAACATGATGGAACATTCAGGACATTTTGCATCGAGGAACCTTCAAACATGTAGTGTATCGAAATAAGGAACATGAATACCAAGGAGGGCTACAGTGGCGACATTGGTAAAGGCACAACTGACCAGCACGACGCCAGGGCTCTGAAGATCACGAATATGAATCCCACTGCTTGGGTCTTCCTTTTTCCTCAGTCCTTACAATTTTATATAGAGTCCTTTTGCAGTTAATAATATGATTCTTCTTTTTAGATAATATAAATCTAGATAACAAAAAATATATATTTTACAGTACCATTACATTGCTATGATTTTAAATAGATTGTTATCTTCATATAGATTACATGGTAATCTTTGCAATGAGAATGTTCAAACTGGATCACTCTTCTCGTAAAGCCGACAAACATTTCTTGAGCGATTCCGCGTGTGCCTGTAAATAAAACGAAACCAGAGTTTTAAAAACTAATTAACAACAGTGTACAAAATATGCTAAAAAATTAAAGCATCCTCACTTTTGCATGTTTTATTTCAAGTTCTGTTAATTCAATTAAGTTCTTTCTAAAAGCAGATACTCTCCTTGTCTTGAAATCCATTAATTCTGTAATAGAATTATATTGTAATCTTTTATAAAACAAATTAAAAAAGGAGAAATAAATATACATATCTATATATAAATAAATAACATTTACCCTCCTTTCCTTTTTCTGACATTTGTTCAAATTTCTCACATGCTTCTGTTTGAGCTTGTTCCGCCTGAACCAATAAAAATAAAAATAATTAAAAAATCCACGTCAATACGTAATACTACCAATATTTAACAACTTAATATTTTGTATAGAGGTGAGCTCTTTTTATTTAAACACATTATACAAGAATGAAACAAAAACATGCAATGTCGCACGATTATATTGCTCTGAAATTTTTTATATTTTTCATTATTTTATTAATAAAACATAGCTCTTAACATTTGTTGCTTTCAATAATTTTTCAAACCTATCTTTTCTTTTATTCATAGAATTATTTTTCAGATATATCTTAAACATTATTATATCCTAACATGTAAGTTTCACAGTACCAAAATACTAACATAAAGAATAAAAGGTTCATGCAAATTAATTTCATGCACATTGAATTAAAAAATAGTTATTTAAAACATATCTAGTTTCAATTCTCTCTTTTTCTCCAATATACAGTGACTGAATCAATCCTGTGAAAAGATTCCTACCTTATTTATAAAAGCAATAATTAGTATACAAATTATGAAATATAAAATTTCAATGTTAAAACCTTTGAATACGAGACCCTTGTATTTTAGGAAAACTAAAAATGACATTTAAAATTATTTTGCACTACAGCAAGGCGGCAAACATACAAATGGGGAAAAACACACCTCAGCAACCTCCACTGCCTTGATGAGCAAAAAAAGTTAAATTTTTAATTAGATACTAGTGAAACATCACATAGTATGCAAATACATACATATACTATATTTAGTATTTAAAGTATGTATATAATATATACACTCGTTTGTTATGTGCTAATTTTAGGTTCCGTATGAAAGTATCTACAGCGTGAAGTACTTACAGCATGAACATCTTTGTTTTTGGCCCGAGCTTTTTCAAGAGCACGATTTGCAGATTCATATGCGTGTAAAGCTTTCAATCTTCTAAACAAAAGCCGTTTAGCTGCAGCGGTATCCCTCATGTAGTAACGAAGAGTGTCTGATAATTTTAAATCTTCATCAGATGCTACTCGTCCCTCTATTTTCTATTACATTACAACATTGAAAATGTAAATAATATGAATAAATAAATGGAGTAAATTACATCAATAAATCTTACCCTTAATTTTTCAAACGTTTCTGCAATTTTTGTTAAAAATCTTTCCAATTTACCAGTATCAGTGGTAGCTAATTGCAAGAGATTTGTGGAAATTTTAATATATGAATCTGCTACATCTTTGTGTTTAGCAGTTTGACGATCCGCACGAGCTGTTGCTTCTTTTAAATTATGATGATAAGTTTGTAAAAATGACATTTCTTGATCAAAAAAGTCATTTACATCTTTTACAGTTGCAGATAAGTAGTATTCATCTGTAGTGGTAGAAAACGATTTTACCAGACCACCAAACATTTCCATTTTATTTTTCCCTAGAAAAGCAATGAACTTATATTTGTTATTTATATTGAAAATGATAAAGCTGATTATGAAAGAAAGCACAGAAATTGTTTTAAGGAATTAGTAGAAATTTTTACCTCTTACACAAAGATCTTGATCATATTCCAAAAACACTCTTAAATTATGATCATTTCGAAAAACTGGATGATGTGCTAATCTAGTTAAAAACATTTCATGCATAGCAACAGTTTTTTTAAATGTTGCTAAATATTCACTGTAAAAATATAGGTACATAAATTTTTTAGTACATATATATGCACAAATATATAAAAATTTTTGTACAACTTACGCTTCCAGTTCTTGTTTCATTTTGTTAAATTCCTCACGTGTCATATTACCCTCACCCTCTCCAAGTTTTTGTAACTTATCACGGGATGCATCAAAATCTGGTCGTGGTGGACAAGGTGGAATCTATAGGTACATATTTTTTACTACCCATTATTTAGAAGCACAATCATGTTTAAAATACAAACAAAAAAGAAGAAAACATACGATATAGCCAGCATATTCTTCATTTTCTTCAAATCTGTCATGTAACCATACAAATTCTTCATGTTGCCTTACAACTAAGTTATCTGGTTTTTGAAACTCAGGTAATGTAGTTGTTGTATGTACAGTGAATTTCACTTTATCTTTTTCACTAAGAGCATCTGAAATATCCACCTGTAATGACTTGTCAGAGAGGTCTACATTGTCAGCATGAATTGTCTGTAAATACAAATTTTCAGAATCAAGACAATATAAGCACGAAATATAAACAAGAATACTAAACAGGAAAAAAGTTTAATTTTAAATAAATATGCTTTACTTAACATATTCAAAGGAAATCAAAAAAATACTAATATAAGTACCTTTTTAGGAGGAACGTTATTTAAAATGTCGGCAGTATCACATATGCCGTCCTGAAACATTTTATTGAATTACAAAATTATATGAAGTATATTTTATAACACAGCAAAACTCAAACTGCACAGTATTAAATTCGTTAAAAAGGCAAATCGGTGGACAAGTGATAACAGGTTCCACCTACCATCATGGCGTCCAAGCGTCTCTGACACGTTCTGTTTTATACTATATAACTATAAGAATTAAACCGATAATAATTTAAATTGCACGATCTGAAATTTGAGTTTATAACTTCAAGAAAATATTGTTTTTCTTATACTATATATACGTATATACATATATAATCTTTTAGAATATTTTATCATTATTATTTGAATTATTTTGACAATTATTATTGTAATTAATAATGTACATTTATAATTATTATTACTATTATTATTTACCAGATAAAAGTTACCACTAGTAAAACACATTTAATCAAATGATAATATGGCGAAATGCGGTATGCTTAAAACGTGTTGACAAATCAGCTGTAAAAACAGGGAATAGAATACAATAAAATTGTTTGAAAAATTAAAAAAAAAAATATCGATAGATTTGAGAATGTTTCCTTGATAGATTTGTCAAACATGTAAATACCACTTGTTACTAAATTTTCATTAGAAAATTAATTAATTTATTTAATTTAAGGGCAAGAATTTAACAAATGTTCAAACCTATTGAACTATATGTTAATCATGTTTTCTTTGATATGATAAGAATATGATAATATGAATATATATTTTTACAATGAATTATGAAATATATATTATACTTAACTTTTTCCACTTGTTTTACAATTTTGACGGATTATGTATTTTAAATTTCTTAAGAACAACTATACACGTAGTCTTGTATTAGTTTCTGATCCTAGTTAGAAACAGTTTTCTATTGATCTATGTAACTTATATGATCGATTATTTAATTTGTAATTCCGAGTACATTGGTTTTATTTAAAATTTTACAATAAATCTATATACATTTTGTAACTGTTTCCTTGTAAGTTTAATGTGCTTATAATATTTTATGTTTTATAATTTTTTGTCACACAAAGTACGATTTATTATAGTACAATTTCAAATTTTTTTTTAATGTATTATAGTTAGTAACTGTCAGATTAACTTACAAATGTATATTTGTTTTGACATTTTTTGGTTAATTTTACAATTCCTTAATATATTAGTTTGACATATATTTTTTATATGCATTCCTACAGTTATTTAGGTTAGATTAAAGAGTAAATCATGTCCGCACAAATTTTTCAGTTAAACACAAATATTTATTTATATAAAATTCATGATATTAAAGATTGTTTGTCGTTATAAAAACGCGTTACAATTTATGTAATACAATAAATTGTTTAGAAAACAGTTAATTAATATTCTTATGTCTTCCATTATATTGCATTTATTGTAAATACATATATGGTTCTAATTATTTTTTGTATCTGTATAATATTTAATATATTGTACATAAATATTTAACATACATATATGTATATATACACATATACATTATTTGCCATTATCTTTTTAAAGCAGTAACAATGACAAGTCAATATGAAAAATTATCATGGAAGGGTAAGTGAATAAGAAATATTCTAATGATTTATAATTTTTTAAATTTAAATTTCAACGAATTGATTGAATCCTCTTATACATATATTTATATATAGAAGTGAGAGACTTATTTAGGACATGGAGAGAAGATAGTGAACGTAAAAGTCAAGATGTTGTGGATCTATGGGAATCCAAACTAATGGCAAAAATTGACCAACTTGGCAATGAAAGTATGATAGAGTGATTTCTTGTAAATATTTGATGATGTCAACTATCTTTATGATAAATTTATATGACTTTTACACAGGATATTTGGTTTTGGAACAAGTGTGTATAGCTGCATTGGATTGTTGTCGTCTTTCTTTAGCAGAATACTGCATTAAGATATTAAAGAAAGAATTTCCTAGCAGTTTAAGAGTTCATAAATACCATGCTATGCATTTAGAAGCTTTGGAAATGTAATATTCATTTATCAAAAAATTATTATGTGTTACATATATCTATATTATATAAAAGAAGTAATATGCATTTGTAGGTATGATGAAGCATTAGAAGTTTTGGATTCTATTATAAAAAGGGATGAAACTAATGCAGTACCAAGAAAAAGACGTATAGCTATATTAAAAGCAAAAGGTCGAATATCAGAAGCTATTAAAGAGCTTACAGAATATTTAAGAAAGTTAGTATTTTGATAAAATTTTATCTATACCTTAAAACTTTGACTTGCTGTATTTATTGTGGATATGTCTTTTCTCTGCTATAGATTTATGAGTGATCAAGAAGCATGGCATGAATTATGTGATTTATATTTACAAGAACAAGAATATTCTAAAGCTGCATTCTGCATGGAAGAACTTATATTGCATAATCCACATAGCCACTTAATTTATCAAAGATATGCAGAAATAAAATATTCTCAGGTAGTAAATAATACAATTAGTATTACTTAAAATTTGAATTTTGCTGAAATAATCATTCACTTATATTTAGGGTGGTTTTGAAAACATGGAATTGGCAAAAGCATATTTTTGTCAAGCTGCAAGATTGAATCCAAACAATATAAGAGCTTTGTATGGCTTGTTATTGGTAAGAATTATGATCATACATTCAAATATGTATTCCATTATCAAAGCTCTAACACAAGCTTACATTTATAGGCAACAAATAACATTGCTACATCACCTAAATGCACTTCTTCTAAAAAAAAAGATGCAATAAAATTAAGTGAATGGGCAGCTAATCAAATCGAAAAACAATACGAATCAAAAGTTTCGGACGAAAATATTAAAGCATTAGAAGGATTATTAGGACAATTGCAACTCGAAGTTTAAATATACAAATTTATATGTATGTACAAGTTTAAGTACCGTAACGAATGTAAATGTACTGTTCACTTCTTACAATCTATACACATATATAATTTATTGTTTCATTCAGAAACTTTGATATAAGTGTCTTTTAAAATGAAGTAATCTTATAAACATATATTGACATGTTTACTATACAAAACACGGAAAGGTATTATTTACTAATTAAGTGATTTGAAGGTTAATCAGGGAACATATTTCTATAAATTGCAAGATGCATAAAATCACATTAGATAAAAAAGTAGAACATAGCAAATAGAAGTTCGTAACTTTTGTAATGATTATTTAAAAATATTAAAAATTTATTTTATTATTGTTTTAGATTTTTTCCTGTTAGCAAATCTATTTATACATTCCTGCACAGTTTGTGGAATTCTTTGAATTGCATGTATGGTCATACTAGGTAATAGTTTAACAAAAATTATATTCTCAAATATGAAATTGAAGGAAAATAAACATTTGTTACACATAAAATAATTACAGAGTCATCTTTTTTCATTTTCTTTATTATTCTGTTCCCAAAGTTCTCTGTTCTTTGCTTTTTCTACAGCTTTCTTCATTCGTTTTTCCTTTCGGCTTTCATTTCGTAATGCAAAATATTTTTCTCGAAAATCAATTAAGTTTGTAGAAATTATTTCGTCTGATTCCTAAAAAAAAAAAATGTAAAGAATTCAATCAAATCGTTTCTTGATATTTCTATTAACGATTATACCAGAATACTTATTCATAGATACCACTGGATCCTTTATTTTTTTATAAGTTAATAATCTGCGACTAGTATAATTACTAAGTACTTGTTCTGAATTGGCTATTAATTCTAAACATGGATGTGTTGGTAATTGATTTTCTGAATATTGATCCCTGAAAAATATTGTTTTAAATTTGATTTTAAAGAATAAATGTGTATAATATTGTTAAATAATTTTTGGTATTACTAGTACAATTATTAGTATAAGCTACTTTATACTAATGTGTTTTACCTAAATAAAGGAAACCAGCATACTAATCTGCCAGTTACTTTAAGATGCTTAGCTGCAAAAGTTAGTAGATCTTTATACATTTCAGGTAAATCATAGCCAATTTTAGATGGTATATGAGAGGATGCTTGATGTTCCTCTATTACTGGATTTGATTTAGTTGTACCTATCCTTTCTGTTGCTTCTCTTATACCATAAGGAGCTATAATTAATAGGGAAATTAAATTATTTGCAAGAAAAATTATAATTTGGTAAGAAGGAATTATACTTACGGTCGGTAATTATAGCATCTATACACATATCAGAACGCCATAAAGGATAGGAAAAATCTGATACAACAACATCAATATAATATGATCTTTTTCCATATTGACTCATATTTGTAGCAATACTTTCATCCTTTTCCCTAATCTGGTAATTATTTTGACAAAAGATTAGTAATGACATTCAGTGTGAATAAAAAATAAATTTTTTTACCTTTTGTGATATTCTACTAGGTCTTGTACGACCATGAAGCATTAAAAAATCTATATCTGTCCCTAATGTATATCCTCCAAAATGAGAAGCAGCTACTAATAAAGATCCAGTGCCAACAAATGGATCAAGAACAATATCCCCCTTTTGAATTTGAGCTTGATTTGCCATTATCAATGACAATTGAGGATCCATAGATGTATTACCTATAAATTTTCTGGTTTTCAGAGATAGTTTCTGAATTAAATCCCTTTGTCCACTTGTAATCTACAAATGCATTATGAAACATAATATATATGTAATAACTTAATGTAATAGTATGATACAAAAATACTTACCCATCTACCAAAAAACAATTCATAAGGTGTTTCAGGAATGTCATTAGGATATAATCCATAAAATTCTATGTAACATAATGTTGTATCTGGATTATTTAATCTCACTGGTCCTTCTAATGGTAAATAACTGAAAGCCTTTTATAAACATTGTACTTATTGTAAAGTTAATTTAATGCAAAAGTTTTATATTTAGAGATTTATATAATTTGATTTTATAAAGTTTATGTAATTTTCTTATGCACTTACCTCAATCTTGTTTACCTTTTCACTTTGTGAAAAATGTTTACAAAATGTTTCAACTATTATTTTGAATGTTTTTTGTGGTCCACCGTACTTTTTAATTTCTGTGATTGGATACAGTTTTAATGTTTTGTGTAAATCTTCAATCCTTTTGCTACTAGCCCATAATTCCATACAAAACCGTACACCAACTGCTCTGCTTGAAATTTTATGTGCAACAGTCTCTGAAGGTAAGTTAACTATCCAATAAGGCTATGACAAAAATTATTTATAGTACTAATAAATACATTCAGCTACATTAAATAATGCAATTATTGTATTTTCTTACATGGTCTAACAATTTAGGATGAATATAAATATTTATACCCAGCATACTAAGGATAGATTCCATTTCCTAAAAAGAATAACTTTGAAGAATTTATAGAAAATAAAAAATAAAAATAAAATAAGATATTACTTACAGCTGCACGAAAATCAATGTGTTCTTGAGCAAACCAAAAAAGATACTTTTTCCATTGGTTACTCATTGTTACTGCTTTATATTTAACAAATGTAGCTTGAATAACATTATCTAAATTGTAATATTAATTGTATAAAACTATACTACATATATTTTAATACTGAAATATTGATTTCAAAGAGTTTTGCGTAAACTGATGCAATTGTAGAATTTGCATGCTTTATTTAAATTTTATAAAATCATTTACATTTGTAACATAAAATATTTAAATTTACTAATTCGTGTAATTTTATTTACATCAAAATACAGTTTAATAATTTGTACATAAATTATTTCATATTGTCTAAATTGTGTTTGTATGTAAACATAAAGATTATGTAACATCAAATAATATAAAATCTATGATCAACGAGACTATTTAACCAACGTGATCAACACAAAAATATGCTCTTCAGAATATATTGCAATGCGCATGCTTAATCGAAACCATAGATAAATAAAATACAGTGAGTCGATTATTATTGAAAAATTATGCCGTTACACTGTTTTCGACATTCTCATTATATGAAGACATTTATTTAAGTATAATTGTTTAACTTACTGTAATACATGTCAATTTGTCATTAAATATTAATATTTATTTCATGTGATACTAATCAAGGAAAAGCAAATTAAATTATCATACTAATAACAGTCCTTTTAATAATAGGATTTATTGAAAATTGTTTAACGATTAGGAAATACTGTTAAATTTAAAAAGAACATTTACGGGAAGAGCAAAAGAGAAATAGGAAATGCGCAAAAGCATTAGAAAGAGTAGAAACCATATTTGCGTGTAAAAGATTACATAAATTAAGAATAAAGTTCCAATTGAAATAGAGCAGAAATATTTCTGGAAATATAATGTATAGTGACATTGTTTAAAACAGTCGATAAGAGAGAGAACGATTATTTCATAATCGGTAGATCTGGAAGATTGTGGCTAATGAAACAGTGTACGAGGGGGCGCTATATGCGCAGTAACACTTCTTGTTGTTCTCATTCTAAGGTGGAATACCACTCGTCACTGTTTTCTGTTGTGTTTTTAGGCTGGAATCGGGCGAAAAACATGCCGTTTCGATAATCGAATGAGAAACAAAAGGTTCTTAAGCAGAGTTGTTGTATCCAAGCTTGAAGGAGGTGCTGTATTACAGACGTGTGTGAATGGTGCAGGTGTAATTTAATAAGAGCAGGGGAGGCTGGCGATTTAATAGGATATTGATTTGTCCGCGACTGCCTTGCTGGCTCCATCGCACACACGAACCAGGTAGCCATGAACGTCGATATTTTTGGGGCACTGCCTGGTGCAACGTGTCGGCTGTACATATGCCGTGTTCTAATGTGCTTACAGGCCTGATAAAGCCCAAAATGCAGCCAGCCATTGACGATATGTGTTAACGATATTAGTCGAATTACGGGTTACAACGACTACGTCCACTACTATCATAACGACCATCACGACGGCGACCAAAACGGCAACGACGACAACGACGACGACGGCGGTGACCACCACGACGACGACGACGGCGTCGGCGATCACGCCAACAATCACGACCACGACGACCAAAACGATAATCGCGACGGATACGACGAAAACGACAGCAACGGCAGTAACAGCAAAGACGTCAATTATAAAAAAAAGAAAGTGGTGTTACTATTGCATTGTGGATATTTTACAGAGATTTTCATTGCATTGGTTGTGTTCAATGTAATAGTTGAAAAATTAAATGTGCAAACAAGATACCTCAGACACAATGGATGCAACAAACAATGGAACATCAGGGAGTGCAGTGGCTTGTCCAGTATGTACCCTCTATTTGCGTGAGGGTATCAGTTTACAAAGACATTTGGACACTCATCCAAAGGAGCAAGTCATTGAAGCTCTTATCAAAGCTAGTAGTAATTCTTCGCAATTGCAACAGACTCAATTATTACCATCATCAGCGCCTCCAGCATCTTCAGCTATACAAGCACCACAAAATACACCTCAAGTTGCACAGAATTCTCATCTATCAGCTCAATCTCCATATCCTATAGGACCTATTTTTGAGTGTCCACCAATTAGTACTGTGATGCCACCTCAGTTTGCTTCATTTAGTTATCAGCAGTTTGTAAATAATGGCACTATGATGATACCACAATACACAATGGCTCCACAAGTTAATCAGATGATGCAAATGCTATATAATCCATATGGTATGTACCAGCAGCAACAAATACCAACTGTTCAAATGATTTCACCAGTCACAGCCATACCTAATACAGCTAGAGTTAAGCCAGTTGTGACTATGGCTGGTGAAACAAGTGGTAGAACTGCCATTGCTGTACCTGTAAATAATTCCGAGCCAAAACAAATTTTACCTGAAATTTTACCTGAATCGGAACAGGAGTCTGAACAAGTGTTACCAGATATTAATCTTCCAGTTTCTCCTCCATCATTAAATGAAGATACTTCTATGCAGCAAAATGAAAGTGAAGCTAGTACAATTCCAATAGGAAATGAGGAAGATGGACCCCATAGTTCAAGTACTCCAATAAAGCATATTGTGCAGAATGAGTATGATAGCATTCCAAGATCATTGGCAATCACTTGTGTCACTGATACACCAGATGATAAAGTTGAGAGTGTATTACCAGATATTGATGATGGAGAATCATCATGTGTTAATACAGATGTACAATGTAAGTCTATTGATTATGAATCATCAGAAATTGAAACATTTGAGCACACTTACAAAGAAGATGATGATAATGATAAAATTACTATGCCTGAAGTGTCACCAATAGTAACAGAAATTGAAAGCGAAGAAGCAACTAATGAAAAAGTTCCTTGCACTGAAGAGAAAAGTGAAAATGAAGGTACCTTAACAGAAAAGCCTTTAGAAGATACAATAAAGGAATCAGCTCAACCTGAAGTAGAACAATTAGAGCGTCTTTTAATCACCATCATAGACAATGAATTTAATGATACATCACAGAGAGAATCCACTTCTGAGGATGACCAAAAGAAAAATGAAGATACAAAGCAAAGTCCTTCTTCTGAAAAAATAGAAAGTGTAATCCATGAAACAACTAATATTTCCAGTGAACATGAAAGCAGTTGTAAATCTGATATAGACCTAAAACTTAGTGAACATGAAAGCAGTTGTAAATCTGATATGGAATTAAAACTTAGTCAAAATTCGGAAAATGATATAGAGATTACTGAAGAAAAGAAGAGCCCTTGTTTTTCATACCATTATAAAAACAGTTTATCTGCACCTGCATCACCTGCTCTACAAAAGAGACCTCGTAGAACCTACTCTGTTTGTTCAGAATTTGGTTCAAATGAAAATCTCAATTCTTATCCAATTGGTTTTGATGCAAATACATTACAAGATGAAGATGATGAAGATGAAAAGAATGAAGCAGAAGATAATTTTGATGAGGCAGATATGGAAATAGAAGAAATACCTAGCCCACATACTCCTTTCACTAAATATGGTGAGAGTTCTGAACATGTCAGATCACATACTCCATTATCTGTAAGTAGTGGTATATCTGTTTTAAGGGTCAGAAAAGATCTCAGTAAACCATGTTCACCTGCTTCGGTACATTCATTTTGTCATATGGATGCTAATGGTATAAATCATGATGAAGAAAGTAATGCAGCAATGGATGTATCACCAGAAAAAGATCCTATTGATTGTTCTTCAGCAGTACAGGATGTAAAGGTTGATCAATCAGAACTTCCCTTAAGTGAAAATGAGAAAAAAATGGAAGGGAATTCGGCATATCAATCTGTAATCACTGAGCATATAAGTTCATTTCCTACAATTCATTCACAACATTCTCAACAATCAACATCAATGGATGAATCATACAATACACCAAATAAAAGTAATAACCTTGTAAATTTGTCAGAATCTAGTGATGTTGCAAGTAGTTCTGATTCAAAAAGTTTTCATTCATCTAAATCAATTATACAAAAGCAATCAGTGGAACTTCTTAGTTTAAATGAAGATGCCCATGCAGGTCCAATGAATGTATTTGAATTTGATGGGCTTCAAATCTTAGTTCCTAGTACATTTATAAGTGATTCTTCACAAAAAGCTGTTAGTGCAACCAGCCAACAATCCATGGCAAGTAGTGAAGGTGGAGTAGGTGCAGATGAAGAGGTTAAAAGCATTAACATGAGAGCTGATGAAACTATGCCACCCAGAGGTGAATTATCTGAACAAGAAAGCAATGGATGTACAGAACAGTCTGCGTGGCAGGATTTGAGAAAATAGTAAAGTATTTGAATTTTATGAATTGAATCAATTTTCCATAAAGTAATTCAAATGTCCTATTAAATTAAAGTAAGAAAGAAAGTTACAAGTATAATTCAAAATTTTATTATGTACTTATTAGTATTAAATTAATGTTAAGCATAGAACAAAATTGTTTATAAAAGTTGAACTTAAAACTTTTCTCATAAATGTATTTTACATATTTAGTTATACACTGGTCAAGAATCATCACGGATGTCAACCTCTTACGATTTAATGGCACGCGAAAGTTGGGAAGAATCTGAAGGATCAGACAATGAAATTGGAGGCCCACTATTAGATAGCAGATCTTTAGCGACACATTTTACATCAAGTTTATTTTTAGATCGAGATAGGAAAACTCCTACGAAAAGAACATTCAAATGTTATCATTGTCCACAAGTATTTGAATGCCCGAAAGAACGTCGAGTACATAGTACCACCGCGCACAAAGAAGCTGGACCGAGTAGCAGTAGAGAATCTACCGATCAACCTGAAGTAAAGGATATTAAGTTACTGGATGGCCGTATGAATGTGTTTGAAGATATTTTTGTACCAGGTTTACATGTTCAACAAGTTTATCATCAACAACCACTGTTACATCAACTTCAACCTCCACAATCATCAGAATTGACTACAAAAGTAGAAACAGATCAAAAAATTGAAACGTTAGTAATACCATCAAACATTGAAGTGATTTGCACACTTTGCAATCAAAGATTTAGTAGTGAAAAATCATTACAGCTACATCATAGAAGAGTACATATTGCAGAAACAACAAAACGAATTCGCGAGAGCACCAAGTGCCAGATATGTCATGAAGAATTTCCTTCACTTTTATTGTTTAATGCCCATTTAAAAATACATCCATTAGAATGTAGTCAGTGTGGAAAGTATTTTTATAGAAAACAAAATTTCAAGCTACACATGAAACGACATTTAGGAATTAAACCATTTCCGTGTACCGTTTGCGATAAAGCATTTTTAACGAAACAAAAATTGGACGAACATACTAATGGTCATACCGGGAATGCACCTGTTAAGTGTAATCTTTGCAATGAAACATTTCGTAGATATTCAAATTTAACTCAGCACAAAAATAGACATCATCTGAATATAAAGAAGAAATTGAAAGATTACATATGTCATTGTGGTGAGGTTTTTCATACAAAGAAAAAATTAGCTTGGCATAAAGAAACACACGATGAAAAACCCAAAGCATGTACATATTGCAATGAAAGATTCATTCACATGGCCAGCTTGACTCGACACATGCGCCGAGCTCATAACAAAAGATTCGTTCCAGATGCTCAAAGAGAGAGCGAAAATGTTGAATGTCCCGTATGTAAGTGTATTTATTTGCGATCTTCCTTAGCAGTACATATGCGAGTTCATAATGGTGAAAGACCATATGAATGTCAAGTTTGCTCTAAAGCATTTAGTACTAAGTGGAACTTACAATTGCACAAATGGACTCACGCTGCCCGTAGCACCAAACCTTTCAAGTGTAATCAGTGTAGTGGCGCGTTTTACCGGCACAGTGATTATACTGCTCATATGAATTCTCATAGAAACGTGCGTCCTTACACCTGTAACTATTGTGGAGCGCAGTTCATACGAAAGTATAATTGTTTGAGGCATGTAAAAGAACACGAAGAGAACAAAGCATATACATGCGATGTATGCAACAAAACTTTTCATAGATCATATTACCTAAAAGAACACTTGCGAGTACATTCAGGTGCCAGACCATATACATGTCATATTTGTGGAAAATCTAGCGGTACGAAATCCAATCATAACAAACATGTCAGAATTCATCATGCACGAGAACCTGTAACTACCGAAAATTAAAGAACGAACGAGACTTTTCATCCAATTTATTCAGTATCATTATTTTTTAAAATATCGTGGAACAATACTTCACCTTATTCCTTTTACCTCTTATTTCTTTATCTATTAAAAGTTTTGTCTTCATTTGAGAAATGAAGAAAATATTTAAGCACAAAACAAAGCGACGAAATAAGTGTAATATATCTCATACAGAGTAATTCACCTAACTTGTCGATCTGAAATTACTCGAAAATTATTTGTTGTACGGAAAATTGTATGAAAATACTAACTTTAAATCTATTATGCCTTAATGCTTATTTACTCAGTTTTTAATGCACTTTTAATATCCGTAAAGAAATATAGGGTGTTCCATTTAAAAAAAAAATCAAGGAGACCTTTAAAACTTTATGTATGTCCCACTTGAAATCACGCAACTTTTGTTTCATCCACTTTTTCTTGTAGTTAATAATTTACGAGTAATTTCAAGTCGTTAAGTTAGGTGATTCACCCTGTATATTACTTCTTTAAAAAATCTCGTTCGTTTTTATCATTATTTCTTAGATATTTTAATATAGACATTTTAAACTTGAATTAACTGCTGGTGTTACTAGCGGTACTTTGTCTGATAAAAAAGTTTAATTTGTCTTAATTGCAAGAAAAAGACGATTTTACGTTGTATTGTGCATTGTGCATTGTATGTTGCACTTCGTAAATTTTCGTCATATAGTCTGCTAAATACAATGACTCGAGACTGTAACTACTTAAGATAATAATAAATTTTTAACAAATATTAACTGGTACATGTTGTCTGGAGATTTGAGTAACTTCCATAAAGGAAGACTATACGATGAAATGCTTTTTGCCAACTTACACTAATTAACTATTAGGTAATAATAACTAACTGATCAATATTATGAAATCATTAAGCACTTTTTATGTGTTGATCGTGGTATGAAATTTTTTTACAATAACTATTTTACACGAAGCATGCATATTGCGGTATTGCGCATTGGCATTGGATGCAAGAAGGAACTGGAAGGCCCATATTAATTTGCGTTAAAATTACGACGCGTAAGGCCCTATCGATAATTAGCGTTATTAATTATCACAAGGTAGTTACGGATCTTAGTTATTATTCTTTTATATTTATATATTTTGCAAACTATAATAATTTTTATTGCTAATTGTAATTCCAAGACTGATCGATGTTGGTTCCTCATATTGCTCTCCAATATAAACGTAACACGTCAAATATAATGTCTTAAATGATAAACAAGATTTCCGAATCTTATGAACAATTGCGTGTACGATTGTTTGAAATATATAATATAATGATACTGTGTTAAGTGTTACTAGCTAATTGTTTTATATTAAAATGTTTGACAGAACATACATCATTTAAATTCAAGAGAGCAGTATGAATAAAGGAGCTCTAAATTATTACATGTATTCAAAATACGTTGAACCGTACGAAGGACGTGTTGTTGTTACGAAACTGAGTTTCTACAAACCGTTCATGTAAATCTAAACAAAACTACATGAAACATTTTTAAGATAATTATACTATTTCTATACTACACTTTGAGTTTGTACTTGTTAATAGTTATTTAGCAAATTACCCTTTAGAATTGATAATGTATAATTGTTCGGCTTTCTTCTCGGGCAGGAAGAAACTGTGTTTCGTTAATAGTTAAATACAATTTTTAATATCATCAGTCATTAAATGAAACTTATTTACATGCATGACCAACATCGACGTCCAAATGTGCAATCGTTTAGTTAAACATGTGCATTCTAATTGAATGCAGTTGTAGATAATGTAAATATGTATATCAGTTTTATTTTATAACTGGGCCAACGAATTGTGTTGGCAATTAATAATTGTCTAAAAGCGACTCGTACTCTTATGAGAATAAAAATAGGATAATTATTATCATTAAAAAAAAAAACAAAAAAAAAACCTATAAATCAGCAACATGTGTATACCTTAATAAAAATTATGTATTGAGGTACTTTTTTAAATAAGTTTTTCTTTGTATTTTTATTACAAGTACCAATACCGTATTTAATCCTTGTTTATGTAAGGAAAATAATATTTACCATAAAGCAAATGATAATGTGAACTAAAAATATGTAAAAATGTGATAAACAATTACTCCAAATGTAAGATATTATATTCATTCTGAATTCAGTAAAAATGTTTGAGATAAACGTGTTGTGGATAAAAGAGGCAAAGATGTACTTTTTTTCATTTTTCAGAATAGGTGAATGAAAAATTAATTTTAAGTAAATGAAGTTTATTTAAGTGTATATAGACACGTGTATGTATTACGTGATTATTCAATTATCAATTCATGAAGTACTAGATATTATGTGATTTAAAGTACAATAATTAATCATATTTATTATAGTATTTATCGATAAATTGAAGAAAAAGTATAACAATTTTAATAATATGCATATTTCTACAAATAGAATTTTATTAATTTAATAATTGAAAAGGTGCGATCTACATATAAACCATGTTTGTATTTGAATAGATGTGTTTATTTTGAGATTGAATAATTTTTACATTTGAAATCGCATTCATTCAAAGTACTTGTTATAGAAAATAGGAATTTGTAGTAGAAGGATTTAAATATTCATAGTTTTTATGGAAACTATAATCATCTAATGAACATTGGTACAAGTTCAGTTAGAATCAAATTAACAAAATATAACTAGTATTTTTATACGTTATTTCAAGTATCACATTGGCAAGAAAATTTTGAAACTTTCATTTAACAGGTTTTGTGCATACATATGTTGCATCAATTTATATTTAAGAAGTACGATTTCACAAATCGATTTTACTTCGAAAAAAAGTAAACATTAAAAAAATATATACTTCTGAAAATTTGTGTTAAATTTCACTTGAAAATTATAAAATCTGGTAATTTATAGCATTAAATATGGCTTTCGTCTTACTACATTTTAAGGTTTCTACTGTTTAAAACCAGTAAAAAATTTAGGTATTTATTTTGACATAATTAAGAGCATGATACAAAATTAGTTCTTAATTTTCAAATACGATTTAAAACTCAATTTTTACATAGAATATCAGTAAAGAGCATCAACGTTTTTTGCGAGATTTAGAAGGTCGGGTGGTCTTCTTAGCAGAAGTAGAGGTTTCCGGAATCACTATACGACCTGATGCAATTTCTTCTCGTAATTCTGAATTTTCAACTTTCTTTTGAGCATCAAGATAAAACATTAAATCTTGCACTTGTTCCGTTAAATTTGAGACTTCGACCTGCTTTGTCCTTTGACATTCGGTCATTTCATTTTCTAGTGTTTTATATTTATCTTGCCAAGAAGCTTGATTTAATTCTAATGCCTTTCGTAATTCTTTTTCTTCAGTTAGTTCTGCTTGTACTTGTACTAATTTATTACTAACTTGTTGCAGTCGTTTATCTACATTTTGCTTCTCCCGACTTAATGTTGCTAACTGTTCCTGAAATATACAATAAAAGTTATTCCAACTCTGATACTAGAAGATAAATTCTGGAAAAAAAAAAAAAAAAAATTATGTTCACTTTCAAAATCTAATTTACCTTAACTTTGGCATTTTCTTCTGATACTTGACCTAGTTTTTCTCTAAGTTCTGTAGTTTGTAATACAGAATGTTGTTCTAGTCGTGCTAGTCTATCTTCGAAATACTGTCTTTGAGTTTCTAATTGTGATGTTAAAAGATATGTAAATTCCAACTGTACGGAATCCACTTTTTCTTCCATTGCAGCACCTTCAGCTTTAGTTGCTGTAGGACCACCCTCAACCATTTTTCCATCTTTATTTTGCAATAACCGATGAACGAAATTATCTCCAACATAGTCCCAAACTCTGTTGCTCTCTAAATGCATAGCATAACAGTGGTGTGTTTCATGATAGTGTTGAAAAGCATGTCCTTGATGATATCGTGAACAACCTATATGTCCACATATTAGGCAGATCCATAAAACATCATTGCTCTCGCCAGTATCTGAAAAATATTTGTATAACTTTCACAATTTCCGTTATCTCTTTTCTTTAATTAATAAGAAGAAAGCAACAGCATTTAGTATCTACGTACTGCATTCCATACAATAACTATCTGCAACTGGTTCTGGTGTTTGAGCATATCTACAAACTGGACAAGAGGTGTCTCCCCATTTGGCTAGACAACTTGCATGATATGTATGGTTGCACAAAATTGTTAAAATCCCATCTACACTTTCATCCATTCTCTCTAAGCAAACTGGACAAAGTGGTAATTCTGTGTGTCCAGAGAGGGGCATAGCATTATATGTTACTTCTACACTATACACAAATACCATATGGCAGATAACATCTGGTTCAAAAGAATTATATGGAGTACCATTAAAAGAACCATAAAATTCTGTTGCTGCACTCTGGAATATTAGATAAAACTTATCATTAGAGTGTCATATAATTAATGCATACAAACAATTGATTATAATTACCGCAGATTTAAAGGTAATTAATGCCATATATTGATTAGGACTGCCATCTCTAAGGATCCTAAAATGTTGAATATCTTGATGGCAAGGTGCTGTAAACCTTAAAAGATCATGACAAGTCATTGTAGCTGGAACTGAGAGAATGCAGATAGTTTGGGTACGTTCTGCTGCATGATGTATATCTGTTAATTTGCTAAAAGTTAATATTATTAAATATTATTAAACATATAACAAATGATTACAATTTATTATGTGAATAATTATAATTAAATAGTAATAATACAGAATGCATACTTTTCTTTATATAAATGTATAATTCCTTTGGTCACTTCAACAAATGGATTTCCAGAAATGAAATTAATTTGATCACAGGCACAAGCACTTGCACCAGCTTTCTCTGAATCATCATAAGTATTTTCCTTAGAATTAGCCCTAGAAGTAAAACTAGATTTGCTAGTTCCCTGAGAAGGAAGTGTTGTTTCTTGCTTTTCTATAAGATTTGTGCAATTCTCCATATTTATCTTGGTTGGTTCTCTGCGACCCCTCATCTTGGCAGCCATTGCGCCTGGATTACGAAATCCACTGTGAATTAATCATGATACAAAGAAAGTATGATCTTTTTTGTACTTTAAATGATTCTTTTAGCAATCTTTAAATATTAAGTATTTGAAAATCTTATTTTTTAAAACTGCTTTAAATACATTTAATAATACTAAAATAAAAAATAAACAGAAAGCTTTATACTACAATCTAACATTATAATGTATCAAAAAATGTAAAGAACAAAATATGTACAACATAGTACAACACTATCTAAATTATAAAATCTTAATATTTTGCAAGCCTAACATCTGTTTAGTTATATGTAAATAAAAAATAAAGATATTCCTGTTAAAAAATTTTATTTATTTACGAATTTTTTTACGAACACTATTTTATCTTCAAAGTTACATAGAGTTTTACAAGAGGTAATAATATAGATACAACATTGTTATGACAAACAACATAACCTTGTAAAGATTTGTAAGCAAAAAGATTGATCGGGTCATTAATTATAAAAATAAATAGGGTGCAAGTTAACAAAAACAGCTGAATGTTACTGTTTTAATATAAAATGCAAGCAAATATTTACCATTCGATTCTTCAGAGTTCTCGTCAACAATCTCAACGCGAATAACGCAGAGAGTCACCGAAATAAGAGAGGAACTCATCCCATGAAGTAATACTTATTGCGCATTATTACAAACAAATTTATCATTGTGCTCACTATTCTTAAGTACTTGCTAACCCTTTAAACATTCCCCATGATCAACTGACAACGACCTTACAAAGTGTCACTCTGTTTAGCGATTCACAGGTTAAATTTATCTTCCATTCATTGCTTTTTTTTTTCTCCGTAATTACTACTAAATGGTAATAGACTGATTACATTCTGATTATGCAAAGTGATGAATACAATGAATTGTGACAGTCACAATTTATTACCTATTTTCTCCCTTTTCGCTTATCCTTCGTCAATCAGATACAATCTATTGTTTTAAATGGGAAACTCCCACGTTTAAAAAGTATTCGTACCGCGCCATCTGATGTTCGTTATTCTTATTAAATCAAATAAAATACTATATTCTTTATGCTTTTTTTTTTTTAATTCTATAAAATATTACAGATCCTAATCTTCGCTATTTTTTATTAACAAAAAGAAATAAACATATTGCAAAATTGTTTGTAGAAGCGCCAGAAGTTTTATTAAATTGTTACCAAAATTTTCCAGACTATATTTCATAATCATTATTGAAGAATGGTACATTTATTAAATATGTAACATAAAATTAAAACGCGTTACCTTTTTTTTACGCTCTTTTTCTTTGAGAGGCTTAAAATTGTTCAAAATATATTTCAACGAATGATATAATCACGCCAAGTATCAAACAGTTTTCAGAATCAGAAAGAATATTGGACAACGTGTATAAGTTATCGGAACAAACTTCACACAGTTCAGTAGAAAATATAAAATATTAGGCGCCGTGAATTTCGAAAGAACGTTATATATATTTTTCTTTTTAAACAGCGGAATCCTGAAACTTATTGGTACTTTATAAATATAGTAAAAATCACAGACGAAGCATAGAATCTATTCCTCGTTTGTGTAAAAACTCATTGTCATATAGATAAATTTTGAAAGCATAAGTCGCTTTTAACATGTTTCCGTGTTCTATGAAAAAACTGTACAGTAAAGTTCGAAAGTTTTACGACGAATTCTTTTTCTTTAACATTACTTTTATACGTGTTATTACGTTCATCATTTTTCCTCATTTACATATATTTAAAAAAATAATATATAACATTTGTCTTTTATTTGATCCCGCATTTAGTGTTTGATGAAAAAGAATATCGAACAATACGATGTCTCGTATTGTTCGCTGAATGTCTCAAGAGAAAGTGGGGTACAGCGACTTAAACTGTTTTCAAAAGTTACCCTATTTAAGCGTAAATTGAATTATTTCCCAATTTTCAAAGGTGCTTCCTTATCCTTTCGCTACTTTTCTCGCCTTTTTCATTATTTTTTTTTTTTTTTTCGTTTTTTCATGTATTTTATTCTCGTAGTCACAACCTAAGATTGTATAGCACAAGCATCGGATAAAAAATATGACACGTTCGGTGAACATATCGGATATTTCAACTATCTGTTAAAATTATACTCAATTATCGTTGCACGTTCAAACGAAAGAAAAAGTCCTACAGATGAGAGAGAACGGAGCTCGAAAGAAAAAAAAAAAGAAAAAAAATGTTGCGGTTCATGAAGAATTTTTTGTTCTCTACAAATATGTGTATATTACATCTTCGTACTTAAATGGTCAAGCGTTGTGTATCTGTGTATATGTATATGTATATATATTTAATTAATACAACAGCGATATGTCGTTATCGAGCAAAACCTTGAAAACAATAAGTTTATATAAAAAATATTTCGTGAATTTTTAACATTATCACAACCTGTACTCTTTTGAACTGATCGATATGATAATTTGGTCTCACACCGGCACTGATTAAAACTAATCTCGCTATTCATCTAGATCAAATTTCAAATCGTGAAAATCCCCTACATTATTGCTCGGTTAACATGCACGCTCTATTTTAATCTAACAATTAACAATAACGAAATGATGAATACAGAAAATAGAGCGAAACTGAACGATCGATTAATTCTATCAGTTCGGCATAGGCTCTGACGATCAGATTTATCCAAAAGAGTACATTGCCTACGTTGAGAGAATGATTTTAACAATTTCGCTTGTTACGTTTCTTCTTCTTCTTCTTCTCCGTGGTGAAATTGTTCCAATCATCCTCCAGATTGAATAACGCTAAAATGTCGAATGAAACGGGCGCTTTTTTATTACTCTTAAACTGCGCGTTTTTTTTTTTTTCCTTTTCTTATATATATATATATCTACGACTCTAAAATTGATTCTTCTCTTTAAGTCTAACGATGATGTCGGATGATCCTAGAAAAATAAATGTGTGTCTATCACGCGCGTCGAGAAAAATATGCTTCGATGATAGAAGGTGGATGATATCGAAGATCCGCTTGCGAACCCTTCTTCTCTTTTTTCTCTCTTTTCTCGGTTTTTCTTCTGCAATTTCTCACTCGTCGCGTGAATCCGTACGTCGGGTGCACGAAAGAATAACAACTTTTCTATCTAATCTACGACATAGTCGCATAATAATCACCATTGCCAACAAGATATAAAATTTTCTGAAATCTCTTTGCAACAACGTATGCCTACAAAGTGTATATGTATGCATACAAGGCGTACGATGCCGAGATTAGGATTTTATGCACACGCAGAAACATTGTGCTGAAAATAAGACACTCTTAAACAGTGTGTTACTTGTCGTTCATAATTATTCTTTCTTTTTTCTCATCTTAGAAAAGTATCTTAGAGTATATACAGATTTGAAACCGAGTTACGTATGCCTCGAGTAAAATTCCGCGGCAGAAAATAATAGAAAAGTTAACTAATCGAGATTTCTTTTCTTTCTTTTTGCGTCGAAACGACTAAACGTAGACGAAAATTGTCCGATTTTCAACGCAACGTGAACATTCGTGTGCATAAAATACTTCTCTAATCGGCACACGGTTTGTTTTTTTAAATATGTGTGTATGCGCGCACATATATGCTTTCTTTTGGATTAACAACTTTTGCGCTAAACAGCGTGGTTTTCGCTACAAATCCAACAACTGCAATGGACGGTTGCGAACAAACTCAATGGAACGATTCGAGGAACAACGAATCCGCGTTCTTCACCCTTGTCTCTCCCTTGTTTCCTTCGAGCAATTGAGAATTTCTTAGACGTCATATGTATCTCGCTCTTCGAGGTACTCTTACTCGAGACGGTTTCTACTTGGTAATTCTATATCACTCGCGTAATTACGTTTCTAAGAGAAACCAAAATGACAAAATACGAAAAAATGTTCAACGCAAACAGCGAACGATCGCTATCGAAGCTCTGATAATCGACGAAGAGGAACGATAAGTAATTGATTATCCGAAGCAGCTGGTTTTGTGTTGTTTAAGTACAACAATAGTGTATGCAAATGAAAATGCATCGTAAGGAAAGAAAATTGCAGCACGCTAACGGTGTCGTTGATATTTTAACCAGCTAAATGAACTTAGATGAATTACAGATGTCCAACAAGATCGTCGAAATTCACCACGTTTCACCTTCGAACGTGAATTTCACCGATCGGATTAGAATGAGACGACGTATCTTTTCTTTTCGATGCAACGATTTTTCTTCTCGTACCTCTCTAACAGCGAATTCTACGGTTTCTTCTTTTTTTGGTTTTTTTCTTCTCTTGGATAACAACGATAGTGTTTTGGGTGGGGGAGAGAAAGTAAACGAGATACCTCTACGAATAAATTGTTTTTCTGTTTTTTTTTTCTTCTTCTTTCTCTTCTTCTTCTCCTTCTTTTCTCTTTTGTCTTTGGTTTCTTATACGAGCTCTGAAGCACGAAGGATCCGTTTTGGACATGTTCGATTGAATCGGTTGTTCTTCGCATGGTAGCTTCGTCGTTCGTGGTAAACAACTTTCATAATACGCCTTAAAAAAAGGTTAATTAACAAGAAGTCCTAGAATCGTACGCAAGATTGTCGGTGATCGCTATCACGCGCGTTCGAAATCATTATCGCGTCAGTTGGCATTCGTGTCGACGTTTTAATAATCAGGAGAATCGCGCGATTCCCTCTTTCCGCGCGAACAAACGCGTTTCGAAATTGTAATTGCTGCTGCGTTGCACCTCCCGGGGCCATATTATGCTTGTGGTATAATTTCGATTTTACGCGTTTCGCTTTGAGCGAAAAGAAAATATCTTGTGCGGTTTTCTTTTTTGTTTTTCTACGAGTCCCTCTTAACGAGTCCCGCAGACGTTTTAAGAAACTTTAATATTAGACACAGCTTTTGTTTCTCTTTGTTTGTTTGTTCTGTTCTTTCCTCGCTAGATTTTTTGCACAATCGACAGGACAATTATCCTCGGATATTAATTAGTTAAAACTTGTTCGTTAGCCTCTGCTTTGCTGAATTCGCGATTTGGTTCGATAGGTGATGCGTTTTCTCGTTCAGCTTGCTGTTCAAAGTTGCATGTACAATTTCTGCATCTTCGTGGCGGCGAATTTCGCCGGAAATAAGCGATTTCATTGAAAGACTCGTTTTTAGAAGAACTTGCACGATCAGGTGCATCGTTACGTAGCTTAATTACAGCTTGCTTCCTTTGTCGCTGAAATTATCTCTCTCTCGACTTGTTTTGCAACTTCATTCTTCTCGATACTTTTTGTTTCTTTCCTCTCTTTGTCATGCAACACAATCGCAACGAAATTATTGAGCTCGTTGCTGATACGCTTGTATAATACGAGCATCGGCTATGATCACGTGTAGACGACGCAGCGTATGCCCGCTGAGTGAATCAGCTTCGAGATTACTCTGGCAAGGTTGAGAACGAAGCGAAGTTCCGCAAGTGCTACGTCGTCGTTGACGGCGTTTCCAAAGGAGGTGTTTGTCGATTAGAAGCTCGTCTAGGCCAACGTTGCGGAGAAACCGGTGGCGTTGGTCGTGGCGTGTTCGGAGCAGATCCAGAGGTTAATCGCCAATTGCTACTGGACATGCCTGATCTGCCCACCGATGCTAGACTCGTGCTGCTACTGCTGCAAGCCACTGCGCCTGATAAGTCGACTCTAGACACCGCCCTGATGGTTTAACATTGAAAAAGAAAAGCAATTGTCAGAGGAATTGTTGCCTAAAGTGACACTACTTCGTTGAACGAAGATCGAAAGTTAACAGCCGTATTTAATTTTTGGGAATTATCGATAGAAAATTTAAGGGATGATTCTAGAAGCCGATACAAGACGAAAATGAAGAATAAAAGAATTTCGTTTGAAGCTTCGTTGTTTAGTTGTCAACGTTTGAAAATATCCCCGCAATCGAGCAACCCTCCATACATCAGCGAATATAGGGCACGTCAAGATACAGGGGCTACAGTGATCTTAAAAACTAACGACACATGGCCGGTACCTGTGGCAGTAAGCCATGTAAACCTGGATGAACAACTAATGTGTCAACCTATTCTCAATTCTCAGATAAAATTACGTGTTTTTGGCATGACAAACACGTCTTTTTAATCTCCTCGACATTTATACGAATAGTTTCGAAAAGTGTCTACGATTACATGGAGGAATCTACAAACTTCACAGACAACGTACCCATATATTCTTTACTCGCCTAAACCTGCAAAGCTTCTTTTAGAAGCAAACGTGACAGAAACATGCGACAATCAAGTTTAGAATCTTCGCTAATGTTCTATAACTATACCACTCGATTCTACGACACGTATACTGTGCAATATTACCTGGAAGGAGGCGCAGATCCCCCGGTATAGTAATGCAAACCAGCAGGACCACTTCTTGGCCTGGAAGTCGACAGCACGCTGGTTGATCTTTGCATAGCAGGTGAAGGTGGTGCGGATGGTAGCATTCTCGGTGTTTGTGGCGGCGTTCTGCCTGTGTTCAAGCTACTGGTGCTGCCTGTGGATGCTTTCCTTCTTGGGCTTCTGTGTACACAAAGGAAAGATCAAACGATCCTGTGATATTATTTTCATCTCTGTTTCCCAGAGATTAATATTGTCTACGAGCATTGAGGATAGCAGGGAAACGGAGGATCAACTCATGATAGATGTGTGTTATCTGACAGCTACAAAGGGATTCGCGCGAGTCGGTCAGAATTAGAAAAAGAAAAAAAGAAAAAAAACGGAAAAAAAGAGGAAAGCAACAAACCTTTTGGAAGGTTGCCTACATAGTCCAGTTGGACAAGGACGGCCCATGGCACATTTTCCCTCGCACACTTCTCGTGCCAATGCCATGGTTTCGTAATTTCTTAAAGTAGAACGGCACACTTCTGCATCGGATTCTGCGAGAGCCAAGCTTGGGAATCGTTCCTTCAACCTGCGTCGTTCCTACGTCAACGATATTCAATCTTATTTCTTTTCATTTAAAAGATCTCACGTTTCTCTCTCTCTCTCTCTCTCTCTCTATCTTCGTGCATTCATCGTGCGTAAACGTGAAGCATTTACTATAAAAAAAAGAAGACAAAAAGAAATCTTAAAATTCGACAGATAAACGAAACACGAACAAATTCATCTTCCTAATTTGGAGAATCAACTGTGTGTTAATTACGTCGAATCTTTGAAAAGGTATCGTAGGAGCATAAAAAGGGCGATCCGAGTTGTATACTCGACCGAGCCATTAATTCAAATACCTCGTGCAATCGGCTGGACTCGAAATCTTTCAGCTGTTGCTGAAAACCGACGTTTGGATTGGCAATGGAACGACCTACTCTGACAACTTTAAGTGCCTCTTTCCATGAAAGATTGGTGGTACTCATAATATAGGCCACTGCTACTGTGACGCTTCTCGACATACCGGCTAAGCTGCAACCGAATATCGGTCCGGTGAATGCTTTTCAGATGGAAATCGGTTTGTTAATTGTCGTTTAAGTGAAGGCAAAGAAAGAAGAAAATACACAGAAACGTTACTCCATAGTCTGTACAATCGTATATACAAAGGGACGGCATTTAAATGCCCTAGAATTGTACGCACCAGTGTATTAGGACGTTTCCACCGCGTAGACGTGCGGCGTGAATAAAATCATTACACAGAGAGAAATATTGAGACAGATTCTGATCCGGACTATCCGCCGCCAATATACACAAATAATGCTTGTCCTACGAACAATTCGTTAAACACATCACGGTACAAACTGGGTACAAAAGTTCGACACATGAAAGTGAAGTTACTTTCGGGCAATACTCACCGGATGCAATCGGCGGGCTGTATCGTGGATCGCCAGAATATGCGTGATCTCGAATCGTTCCAACTGGTCGGCATCTTTACTGTCGTGATAATTCCCGATGTAAAGACCAGGGAGTACCTGTTTCGCACACACGCATACACACAACATGTTATTCCTACGTACAGTATACATACACATATAACACTTGCTGTCGATATTTCTCTGTACGTGTCGCGTTTCCCTTAATTAGAACCATTTAAATTCTCCGCGCATCCAAAAGTGGTTCATTATTAGAATCATTAGATACGGGTAACGAGTGATACTTGAACCGCGCGCACACGGTGACGAACGTTTTACATTCAGCATCGAGTTGACGCTTCTCCTATTGCAATTAGCGTGAAGAGAGAAAAAAGTCGAGCGGCACTCGAGATACGCGAACGTCGAGATAACGTGGTTCGAGGGAGAGAAAAAAAATCGATAGAGGCGGAGGTTTTTTGATGCACAGGTGCTTCTACTATTAATCATTCATCTTTATGGATGGATCACTCGAAACGTGTGTATAGGCCAGGCGAGAGAAGGACTGCCTGTAATCGTTTAATCGATGCCGCATTTTTAAGCGAAGGCGATGATGGTCTTTGATGATCGTGAACAACCCGCGCGGGGAGGTGTGTCGGAAGGTGTGCGGAGAACAATGGTACCAGGGGTCTCTCTACTTAACTTTTCATCGGGGAGCATCGATTGAAATCTCGGGTGTGCATCAGGCCAACGATATTATGCACCGTACGACGCCGCCTAACAATAGAACCGGTTTACAGACCCGTCTGATTTTCACGGGTAAAATCTCCGAGGGTTTTCTTTTCCCCGGCAAAACCAGCCGAAATTTCTGGCACACGCCTGATGTAACAACTGCCGCATTACCTCATACCGCGCGGTGGTACGACTTTGACGCGATAGAACAAAGATAAAAGCTGTTTCTCCGAATATCGAATGTAAGATGTGAAATAAAGGATGTTGTTCAGTTTCGGTATCTAGGACAGATAAAATTAACGGCGACGGTGTAATGATTTTATAATACGCATCTATATATATATATAGGTATATGTGTACACAGTGAAACCGAGGAAATCAGACGTAGAAGCACGTGCATCGTTAGCATACTCGATACAGTTAGGTGCACACACATACACACGGGTGATAAGGAACGTCGAGCAACGAAATCGAGAACGCGTTTTATTTTATTCCATTTTTTCTCTTTTTTCTTCACTTCGAAACGTATTAACTTTACGTTTCACTTCGCGGAAATTACCCTCGCATGACACACGAAATAATGTTTCGTTGTCACACCATTTCAATTGCATTTCACCTATTTCGACGCGTGTGTGGCGTTTCTTTTTTCTTCTTTTCCTAGTATCGTACGATTTCACATGTTCCCGGTGTGTAAGAATGATGACAGAAAATTGTGTTGTAAACGGTGAAATGATTGCTCACCTTATTCATGCCATTCCCCATGGTGCCAGTTTACGTTATTGCGCGCGAAATTCCCTCGGGCTACAGGCGGAATCGTAGATTCGCGATAAAAAAGAAAAAGGAGGGAAGGAAAGAAAGGAAAAAAAAAAAGAGAAAGAAACTATCGGTTTAATCGGTCGACACGCTTGGGACGATTCGACGATCCTCTCTTATCTTTCGTCTCTCGAGCTCGCTCCCCGATGATCTTATTGTTGGACAACAGTTTTGTTCGTGGCTGCCGTCGCGTCCCTCCTTCAGCATCATCGTTGAAGATGGATTCTTGAAGCTGTTACACGAGTTTCTGATTGACTTGATTACGCCGCTTAATTGAAACCATCGAAGTCGTCGAACGTTCTTCTCATAATGCGGTATGTTGTTCGTGCCAGCATGTTCCCTCTTGGTTAATACTCCTTCCGCCTTGTAATCTCTACACTAAAAGTTCCAAATCTCTTCGTTTAATTCCTCCTTTTTTTTCTTTTATTATTATTATTATTGCAAACACCGACACGTTCTTTCTGTTTCTTTTTTGTTTTCAAAAATTTTTCCTTTTTACGCTCGCGTGAGTTTTGATTATGAAAGAAATTAACAGGAATATCTCGCCGTGGTTTCTCCTAGCGAATTACGAAACGCACTGCGGTTCGCAGAACGAGAAAGGATCGCGTTAATTCAGGTATCGTTTGTATCTCTCCGCCGGCATGTGTCCATTATTCATGGGAAAATGCAGGGGAAAGATAAAAAAAAAAAAAAAAAAGGAACAGAAAGAAACGAAACGTTTTGTGCCGTAAATCTTGTTCGTAACCAAAAGATCGAGCTGATTGTCACGAAACACCTCTTTTTTTTTCAACTATGTGTCATATTCGTGTCATAGCATGTGTACGTTTTCGCGGTGTTAAGCATTCTGTTTCTTTTTCCCTCCGGGACATATCCTATCTGCGGCAAGAGCGTTTACGGTGCATTTATTTCAGCACGCTGAGTTAGAAACGATTCGAGCGTGCGTTCCTCTACGATCAGCTGGAGTTCCATGGAAATTTTCACAAGAGCCGATCGAAGTGAAAGTTTCGCGAATTGTGCTTGATGAATAATTAATGCTGAAAAGTGGCGTATTCGTTTGAGCGAGTTAAGTGAAATATCAATACTGGTTGTCTTCGGTTCAATGGGCAAACTAATATACAATTTATACGTGGACACGATGACTTTTTTCGACGATTGAAGAATTACACGGTAACAAAGAGAGAGAGAGAGAGAGAACCGCGATGTGAAAAGTAGGCGACGAAAGGGGGAAAAAAAAGCCGGGATAACTCATTTGCGAGCGATCAAAGTTTACGGATTCGATATGGAAAAACGGTGCAATTTAAAGGAGGGCTTTTGTTTCATTTAATCGGCCGGAAGGGATCTATATTTTCTCGGCCGATTTTGCCTGACAATTTAAATTGCACGATGCATCTGTAGAAGAAAAGAAAGGAAAAAAAGAAAAGAGGATGCAGGCCTTTATAGTGAGAAATGAAATGCGGCTAACGGGCACAATCGTTATTTGCCCTACGGCGATAAATTAAAAAGTTTTCGCGTCTTTGGTTTTACCGTATTAGTTGGACAGCTGCCAAATAGAAAATCGAAGCTGGTCTTGCGTGTGCTGATACTGGCAAAAGTCAAATTCAACGGGACAATAATTCACGTAAGAAATTTAGTGGACGACGAAAAGGGTTGACGGGAAGTGGAGGAAGTGAAAATAAAATTGAACGGTTTTTCATCGCGATGACCCAAATCGTTTATGTTTAGAGATCTAAAATGCTTTGCGATAATAGCGTGTCGTACCAGCTCTCTCTCTCTCTGATCTTTATCTTTATCGTAAATATTTAATAATAATAGTAACAACGTGGGTGGAACTGATTTTTGTAAGTGGTATCGAGTTGAAACCGTTAACACGAGATAGTTTTTCTTTAATGTTAACGAATTAATAAAGATCGCGGGATAAAACGTGATTTGTATCGCCATCGATCATAATTCGTGTAAGTTATCGAATGTAATTCAAGGACGTCATTTATGTTACACGTACCATATATCGTGGACGAAATTGAATACGGTTAAGTAATCCCTTTTGCTTATGAAATACATAGGAAAATAAATAACTGGTTGCTATTTTTAATCGAAACTTTTAGTTTTATCGTTCCGATCGAATGAAAATATCTCCCCCCGCGGCACAGCGTCGACTTAATTTACAAACAGGCAAACATACTTTCGTTCGCTCCAATTAATCTTACTTTAATATTTCATGCGTAACGAAAATGAGAAAAGGAGGAAAAAACAATAAAATAAGCGAAAGCTTCATCGGTGTTGGTTTTTTGTCGTGCATGAGGAAATCCCGTTGATAGATAACAGCTGCAATTGTGCACGTTCGGTTCTTTTCAACGCGGCTCGCGAAAATTACCGCATAAGACCCATGGGAGCTGAATCAATTAAAAATCCTCCTGGTATTTACTTTGTGTGCGAGCCGTTCTTTGTTAGTTTCACAAATCGTGGCTTCCGCGTAAATTGATTTCTCGCTTGTTTTAATTTGCCGTTGCGAATCAAAGGCCTCCCTCTCATTATGATCGTAGTGAAAGGAAGGAGAATGCAACGGGAAACAGGAAGAAGCATAAGAGATACGATATGGGTATAATCCACTCTACCTGTCGACACTTTCACGTTAAAAGGCACCTTTTGCTAATTAACACGGTTGTGTACGCGCACGCAGTAAACAGGCAGGCAGCCGAAGCAACCGATCTAGCAGACAGATACGCGAACCGCGTAACGCACAGACTCGCTTGTCGGTACTATCAGGTATTCGACTCGATTGGCAGGAGGGTGCGCCGTATGAAAACTGTCCCGTGGTCTCAGTTGCGAGAAGCGTTGCCAGAATCTAGGGGCACTCGCCCACCGAGAGGGAGAAAATGCTCGTAGTGGGGATAAAGATGTGATGGAGGGGGAAAGTAAGGCGCGTGCACGGGACAGTAGAACTCGTTGAATAACGGAAGGGCTACCACGGACAGGTTGACGAGGTAGAGAAGATGTATAGAAATACTCAAAACAGATCGTCTTTTCAAGTCTAAGACGATTTAACCATTGATTTGTTAAGTAAATGTTTAATTATATCAATGAGGACGTCGAGTGAGACGAATGATTGCAGCTTACAGTGAGATTGTCGGTCGTTGTAATATTCGATATATCCCTTAACGAAAAGAGAGAAAAAATCGATGAGAATAAAATACAAGGTGCCGCGCGTTAACGATTTGGACAATGAGAGAATTTACGAAGAAGTGCAATTACATGAGACAAGTGTCGCCGTAAGTAGCTTAAGCGCTCAGTAGATTGTAAACATTTGCAAGATTTACCGTTTCAAGTTTGTACGTTTAATGATATAGAAGATTACGAACAATTTTTTATTAAGATACAAATGTGCGATTGCGATAACGAGAAAACGTTTAGAGAAAAAAGAAAAAAAACAAAAAAGAAAAAACAAGGAGACTACCAAATCCTCGACAACCGAGGATGATTGGTAGCCGATAGGCGGCAGTGTAGAGAATAACACTGCGGCGCAGCCGCCGCTCGATAAAGCCATCCTCTTGCTCTTCTTTCGCGTTCTCCTTCTAATACCCTCCTTCTCGGCTGCATGATACACCTATGAACCACGACCCTGCCCCACAAACTGAAAACCTGGTCAACTGAAACTTCGTGGACAGCTCGGTATACATATATCTTTAACTGGGGTACCACACTACCTATGTAAAGAAAGTGCTACTAACCCTGGACTAGTAAGACGCTTCGTTACTAACCTACGTTAATACACACACACACGTGCACGTGTGGTATAGCCAGGGTAAATGAATGCTCGCTTTTTATCGATTTGTTTAATGATTTGTTTAATAAAGAAATAAATAGTTTGAACCTAGAGGTAGTTCTATGTACTTACTTATAGTAAAACGTAGTACAGTATGTATTTGTATTTAGTTTTGTACAAGGCATGATCTTTAAAATGATTTTCAAAATATACATAGATACATATATATTCAGTTGTATTTAAATATTGTGTAAGTAGTTTTGTAAATGTGTCAATAGTAAATGAAACTAAGCGAGCAAAGAAAGAGAAGAAAGAAAAAAAATGATTGTAAACTTGAAGGGCATATCAGATTCAACTCAGACAAAAAAGTATTTGTATATCCATATGTAGAAGGAAATAGGGCGGAAGAATCTTCTATTCTTTTCTTCCTCGCATTTCTTATCCAGTGCTATTACAAGCACGGAGATCCACTTTACTCTCTAAAACAAGTGCACTTCAGGTCTTTTCCCCTGCCGGTTTCTCTCGCGTTCTTTTCGTATTTCTCATTGCTTTTCTCTAGACGGAAAAGAGAGAAATAAGAACCAATGACGAACAAGTCTGTTAATTTTCACATGCTCACTTAAATTCAAACCATGTTATGCAAATTACGTACACTTAGAAATTTCACGCGACAAATAATTATCTAAATTGTAAACAGAATTTTCTTTGTTTAAGATTTCAATAATTTTTTACACAATTGTAACTTTTCTTTTACAAAAACAAATTAGACTTTCTTTTCATTTTTACTTGCGTTTTCATTTAATTGTAACTTAACCTAAATTGTAGCTATGAAAAGTTCATTTATAAATCTTTAAAAAGTGTTACTTGTTAAAACAGTTTAAATATTGCATTATAACTGATTTCTCTACTAATCCGATTTGAAACAAGATTTTAAAGATTTACTAGATAACAACGCAATTTAACGAGGAAAAATTAATTGGTATAAAACGAAAGTAAGAAGAAAGGAGGTCTTGAAATTTTCCTAAAGAAACTCTCAATATGATTGTTCATTTATTTATTCAGTTGAATACATACTAAAGTGAAATACTGTTGGAACATGAATAATGTACAAAAAGAAGAATATGGTAAAAAATTTCTAAATTGTTTTCCGAAATTATTCTTCCTTCGACTTCTTCACAGAAGGCGCAGCATCTTTTTTCGATGGAACATGACAAATAAGCAATAGACCTAGAATAACGAAAGATATACCGCACCACCAATACATTGACGTTGATTCGTTGAAGACTAAAAAACCAGCAAGAGCCTTAAAAAATAAAAGTAGAAACAGATCTAAATATACGATCTCTTTTCTTTGCGCTCTCGTTTCAGTATATATATCGATAGAAGAGTAAATTACCGAGCATACGTAACTAGTGGCGGCACTCGCTATTGTACACGGTAAAGAAGATCCGCTGGCATTGAGTGCTTTTACGAAAAACGTGCATCCCACGGTGTTGCTTGTTACCATTAGTATTAGGAGTATTCCTTTAAATAACATCCCAACCTTATTAAACAATAAACAGTTAGTGTTTGAGGAAATTTTGAAACTAAATTTACATACAAGATTGCAAATCTTCTTATTACAAATTCCTTGCACTAAGAATAAAGATAGGAAACTCATGTCATCACTTACTATGGAATCTAACTCAATATTTCCAGCAAGTTTACCAAACAGACTTCCACCAGTTGCAAAAAATCCACTGATGACAGCTAAACGAACTTTTCCTTCCTGCTTTTTATCTTTAATACATGTTGCTGAGAAACATTCACTTTCTCTCGATGACAATGAAGATGAATCCGTTAACAATTCACGCTTCATTATTATTAGGCAGTGTTATCGCCACTAAAGTATTCGCACATGAAACAATAAGAATTTTATTTTCAGTTCCACGTCACTTTCAACCTTACCGATGTGGAACTGATGCTTCTACTAGTATTACAAACGAACTATATCAATCTATGCTTTATGCGCAATAACTACCGGCCCTTTTTTTTATGGCGGGAGCGTTAAAATAATTACTCGAAGGGTAATCAATATTCTAATTACGTATTTTACATTCAAATAATG